TATAAAATTGTTAATTTTAATTGCAAGTGAGCAAAAAATATGAAACCATTTGTATCTATGTCAGTGTAATTCCATCATAAAATACGCTAGGTAAGAAAACAAGAATTCAAACAGACCACCTCGTTACCCGAAAATATGTGGTAGTGTAGCCGGTCCGAAAATCGGTTGTTTCATTCATGATTTAGATTTCTGCCCGAGTGGCATGAATGTGACAATAATTAAGAGTAATAATTTAATGAAACGTCAAAGCTTCCGTGCGATGGGGAAACTGAATTCAGACAAGGATTAAGAGTCGAAAATAGTACAACAAATCGTCGTCTTTTTCTAATGACTTAATGAAACGTCAAAGCTTCCGCGCTTCGCGCGAGAGGGGGGAAACTGGATTCAGACAAGGATTAAGAGTCGAATACTACTGGTGAAGTACCAGACCACCGTCTTTGTGCATTGTGCAGCAATGAAGCATATAATCATATACAACGTCTCGCGACGTGACAGATCACTTTTCTCTAACTTCTAACCGATCCGAAGGCCTCGTTTTTTCCAGGAAGTGCCGGAGGACATTAATGCGCCAAACGTGGTTCTCAAATTGCAAAAGATCCCTACTCTTGGAGGGGGTTGGAGAAAACAATTTTACATCATATTACTCCAGGAAGAGCCTACAAATGTGCCTAAGGTGCAGGTTCTAAAATTGCAAATGCTTCCTACTATGGAGGGGGTTCTGACCCCATTCCAGACCAACCCCGCTTGGCAGCTCCACCCCCTCGGCTCCATCGTTTTTCATATATTTCACCCATGCGATTTTGTGCCCCCCTCCCCCCGGTAAGAAATTCCTGGATCCGCTACTGCTTTAAGCGAACCAGTTTAATAGCAGTGAGACTGATCGCTTAAAAAAAAAACTTCATTCAGAGGAAATGGGTAAAATTACACGTTTCTTAAGCTAAATAAAGTGATAAAAGAAAAATGTTTTTTTTTTACTTTTTCACTATTCCTAAAAAAGTCCTTCACCAAGCCCAAATTTCCTTAAATTTGCCTGTATTTTTTTTTTTTTTTGGGGGGGGGGGGATGGAAACACTGATACCAAGTTTCGTTAAACACTCGATTGTCAAAGCAGTCGGATTGGGCACAGCGGGGATGTGTCAAGTGTTCCTGGCGTTGATTGGTTACTAAGTGATGGGCGTGTCTAGCTACGCAGAAGGGTGCCTGTTAGCTGCGACATTCGCATATTGGATATTAACCTGTGAAAGTTGGCGTTGATTTCAGAGTGTTTCGGTAAACGCGTTAATCGTTTCTGATTTCACTGTCTTAACAGAATTAGGCAATTTGTATTGTGAGCAATAGATGTAATTTCGAAAAGTAAATAAACAGACTATTTGTAATACTGGATCCTTTATTCATGTTTTTACTTCCTTTTGAGGAGTTCGGGAATAAACACAACATTGCAAGAACATCTTCACAGAATTATTGTTCTGCCTGATGAACAAGTGTCGTATTTGAGTTATAAACACAACACAGCAAGGAAGATGGGCAAAATCTTTCGAAAACCTCAACTGTAATATTCTTGGATGTTTGCTTCACATTTTCAATACGTTTTGTCTTCTGAGAGTTTACTTTGTTTGAAATGTAAAGACAACATCGCAAGAAAAAAATACAATTTATAAACTTTTGCTCGACTGGATTTTATCGAATAATTTGGATTTCTTTTCCATCGGTCAAAATGGTGAGTCATCGCCTCTATTTATTTAATTACAAACATATACATGTTCATTGTGTTGGTATATATCTATTTATACGTATCCCATTTAAAGATGTACTGTATGTCAATGCAAATCATTTAAAATGAAACAATGATAAGGAATTCTGGCAACATTTCAACTGGCACTAAGACACTTTCACCTGCACACCTGGGCATATGTCGACACACATAATGCACTTACATATCTGCAAGAATCTCCAGCAGTAAAGGAGGCAGATTATGCTGAAGGAGAAAAAGAAGAAGGGGAATTAGCTCTATGACATATCAAAAAGCCATTTAACTTTCTAGATGAGGGAACGCAGCAATCAATAGCCCATACGGGTTCTAACACCAACCCCTCCCCCCTGGACACCCACCCCCTGGATAACCCACCCCCAGTCAACTACCCCTAGGACAACTATCGCCTAGGGCAACCACCCCCTAGGACAAGTACCCCAGACAACTACCCCAGACAACTACCTCCCGGGGGATAGTCGTCCCAGAGGGTGGTTACCCTAGGGGGTAGTTGTTCTAGGGGGTAGTCGTCCCAGAGGGCGGTTAACCTAGCGGGTATTTGACCGCCTTTGTGAAACTCCTCGATACGAATTATTGTATCTCAATAGTCAGAAATAAAATTGGATACGATTTTGCTAAATAGGACAAACATTTAATATGGCTTGCCCTACCTTACAACACGTAGTATATGCAATTCGCATTCTGACTATTGAAATACAATTATTCGTAACAGGTCAATGAAAAAAATTCTATCGAGGCACTGAAGTACACATTTGGTTACATTGCGAAAATGGCCTATACAGTGTGAGTCAAAAAAAGTTTACACCTATAAAATTGCTAATGATTTTATAAATCATCAATTAACAGTAAGTTATTATACATCTTATGAAAGAGTGTTTCATCCCGAATCGTTTAGTATCATTTTTGTATGGTATGTGTTCACGCTTGGATGGACGGGAGGCATTGTTTGCGAGAGTGGAAAAATCGACTTGCGCCAAAGTTGCTTATGTGATGTTTGAATAAAACAATTGGGATTTGGGTATAAATTAGGTCATTGCAGATCCAAATAAGATCCCTAACAACATTATTCATGCCACACATATGAAATATCGAATATCAAATATCAACGAACATTTGTGCCCGTGTGTGTGTGTGTGTGTGCGTATGTGTAACTTAGCTTTTGCAAAAACCATATGTAATTGCATTTCGTTTGATACATTCAATTCATTCTCTCACTCCGCTGATCCCAACATAATACTTGTTGCAGCGCTATTTTTTGCTATTAAATAATTATGATCAGTGATCAATCATGTCAAATGCTTGGGCGAAGTATAGAAATACACCAAGTGTCGTCACTTGCCTATCATAAACACTATCAAAGTCACGAATGAGTGTTTTTTTTTTATAGCCTTTTCTGAATCATTACTGGTGTTCAAAGATTATTATTTTTTGTGTTTCTCTGAATTAAGATAATCCATGCCGTCAAACCCCCTTTTGGCAGAATAATGTTATAAACGATGTATGATAGGGATAGATAAAGAGATAGAAAGAGAGATATATAGAGAGAGATAGAGGGAGAAAGAGAGAGTTTATAGAGAAAGAGGGAGAGATAAAGTGAGAGATAGAGATAGAGGGAAGATAAAGAGAGTGTGACAGATAGAAGTAGAGGGGAGATAAAGAGAGGGTGAGAGATAGAGAGAGAGAGAGAGAGAGAGATAAAGATTTAAAGAGACGGAGAGATAGATGGATAGAATACAGAGAAAGAGAGATATAGAGGGGAGACGTCCACTCCTTTCGCGTTCACCACAGTTGTAACCGTTTGGCATTATTTTTTTTCAGAACGTAGTGATGAGAACGACTGAACGAGTCTGGTGTGATGGGGGCTTTATGAAACCAAGATGAGCGCGCCATTGCGGTCCATGCTTTAATATGCCCCTCACTTTTTCCCGTATAGATCTAAGGGTTTCTAAATTATTGAGACATGGAAATTCTGTTAAAGTAAGTTATCATGGAACATTTTCGTATTTAGGAAAAAAAGCAAACATTAAACCTTTCGTTTATTATTTTGTTTTATTCAGTCTATATATCTCACTGTTTCTGATACTAAATTTATATTGGGAGGGGGGTGTTAACCCTTATGCCACACCATACCCTGCAAACACCGCATTCTATGTCCTCCGACCCCCCCCCCCCCTCCCCTAATCCTCACTGAAGGGTGTTTGGACTGTTTCGAAGGTAATTTTACTAACGCCCGAACAAAATCATTTGTGTATTATTTTTTTTATAAGACGATGTTTTGTTTGTTTTATACAATGCTGTTTTATAAAATGAATTTACTAATGACCGGTCATACGTATTTACTAATGACCGGTCATTAGTAAAATTGCGTGTTAGGCAAAATAAATGCCTGGTCACGTGTACGCTGTCAACCAATCACTTGATTAGGATCCGCTTCATCATCTTATAATATCAATTAATAGACATTTGGATCATCGAATTTCAAGCCTATTATCATCTAATATCGATCCTTTTCCAATTCTTTTACTCCACATGTAAAGTACAAAGGTCTCATACGAGGCGGGGTCCTTGTTTTCCTGACATGTGTATCATTCGGTATGTATGACTCTGCATGTCAACAGTGATTTATTATCATTACTATTGTTATTATAATTATTATAATAATAATAATTATTATTATATCATCATCATCCTTATTATTATTATTATTTTCATTATTACACTAAAAGTAGTAGCAGGAGTATATTCTTCAACATAAATACAATAAAACATTGATAATGACGTTAATGATCAAAACTTTGTCGTGATTGTCATTTATTTATTTATTTGGTGCTTTCAAAATATGCAAAAAAAAGAACATACACATGAGTAAGCAAAATATGGAAATGATATAATACAAACATAGTTTTAAACAATATTTGTATCTATAGCACCCGTTGTATTCATTAGAAGTGATAATGATGGAATGTATTTGTAAGAAGACGCTATAGAGGAACCACCCCCCCCCCCCCGCACACCCCATTCTTATATGTAAATGTTGTAAATTCGCATTTCGTTTTCCGAGTAAAACCTGTGCCTCTCTCCATAGTTCAAGAGCTTCCTCAATGGATAGACCCACGCTACGCTATAGGCTGTAGTTAGGGGTTCCTAATCAGTTAATACAAGAGAGATGCATACTCTTTACTCAACTTTATATTCTCTCCTGGTATATATCTCATTCAAAGCCACTCTCGTTTCTTCGAATGAGAACAAGAAGACGGGAACTCGCTGTTCGGACGGATTAGGGCTTAATTACACCTTACCAATGTTCAACGAATGTAAGAAGAAACTGCATTCTAATGGCAGCATGGTACAGACCATTCCAAAGCTCGTCCCATACACATCTAAGGAAGCTGCTTGTCCAAGAAGGAAGAGTAAATTGGGGATCCCACCCGGACACAGAGTGTGCAGATTTCCTGGTAAGTCGTTCTTTGCCTGCTGTAAACATGATAAAACATATAATCTGTTTTACTGTTCAATTCTTTTGAAAATGTAATAATGTAAATCCTTGCCAAAGTGTCATAAGATTCGATATTTATGTTAGAAAGTATTTTTAAAGACATTGGCAAGAAAGGTTGAGAGTCTATCCATATCAGTCGTCGGGTTGTTATAGCCTGTGAAGCAGCCGAACCCCCTCCCCGCGAGATGGTTTGACTTCATCTAGTCCATGACATACCTTCGTCAAGAATAGAAAGTAGGCCTAGTGTTACTATATACATCGCAAAACACGAAAGACTGTCAAAAGTTTAAAACTTCGATTTTGTTTTAGTTCCTGAGGAGAGGGTGTTGTTAACTTTATTAATCACTAGTCAAACAGCTAGATGGTTACATAATCCTTTACGATGAGTGATGAATTACTTGTTACGGCGACGATTGACCTACGATAACTTAGTATCCATCATCATGCAAGTACCTCACCCTAACCCTAAACCTAGCGCAAAACCTTGTTGTGGCACACGCAATAATAGCACACCTTTGGCAAAATTTAAACCAGACCAAAGGTTCAGCTATTATATTACAGGGTCCAGTCCGGGATATATTTGAGAACCACCAGGAATTTCAGAATTTAATAATTTAATTGGATATTTACAATAACCTATACTTCAACACGGCTGCGATATAATAGTTCACCTTACCATACAAAACATTCTTGAACAGTTTTTGGCTAATTTCGGTCAGCACCGCTACCCGACTAAAGCCATTGTATTAGAGCAATTTGAAGTTATTAGTATTTAAATCTAGCAGCGTGAAAGTAAATACATTATTTTAGTAGTAGATTTTGGTCACCGGGTACTTGAATGTTTTTCTCTTCAGAAGTCTGTCATTGTTCATAGCACTTTCTGTCGACAAAATTCGGCACGTAAGCTTGAAGGGTGGATATGTTTGTGCTGTTCGGCTTAAGGGGCCTCTGACAACATATTTCCGGTGGAAGTTTTGTCTTTTGTGTGCGTGTGTGTTTGTAATGCACAAAAAATACCATTTTATTTTGAAAAAATAAATTGATGCATGGGGATCGAAGGCAAGATGGAAGCGCCCCAACGATTTTTTTTTTTATATCATTTTTTTTTTTTTTTTTTTTTTTTTTTTTTTTTTGGGGGGGTGGGGGGGGGGGGAATTTTTTTGCTAAACCAGATGGAGAGACACTTTTTATGACGTTAGTTGTGTATACAATATGATTACATATTGAAATGATAGAAATATTTATTGCTAAACTTCTATTCAAGTGTTGTTTCCTAAAAAGGTTTGAGGCCGATAGTAGTTGAAAAAGCAATTTGTTAATTAGTAAACTCAAATTATGAAGGATAATGTCGGAAGGCATTACAAATTACAACCAATGTCAAATAATAATAATAATCATGTTGTGGGGGTTTGGGCGAATGTAACCTGTTTGCATGTGATCTTTTTGTTCATGTTCGGTTCAGGTCTAATTAACTGTACTTCCATATGTTGATCTGCCTACCTTATTCACGAATAATATATTATATTCCGTCCTCGATCATGAAGAACGAGCAACACTTAACTATAGTCAATTATTTGTTGATATCTAGTACGGTTAGCATGTTGTTGTCTTAGCAACATAACATGTTGAACAGATGATGATACACCCGAGGGATTAATGCTACTACTACAAATGAACAATTACAATACGTCATTCCTATCAGACTTGACAACACTGTCGCAATAATTATAATGATACAATGTACATCAGCTAGTAACAGCATTAATTAGTAAGAGCAGCAGCCAGGCGCATACGCAGAGGAGGGGGGGGGGGGGGGGGTTGGGTAACCCCTCTCAAATTTGTTTTATGTAATATTGTGCTAAAGGATGAAGAAAAAAAATGACCTTACCCCCCCCCCCCCCCACCCACTGAACGAAATATCGGTCGGCATAATTTTCCGATTCCGGGACAAAAAAGTGCTCTTACCCCCCCCCCCCCCCACCCCCCGCTTATTCAGCGACCGTCTTTGAGGAAATATTTCCTCAAAAACTGGACCCCCCCCCCCCCCGAAAAAAAAAAAAAAAAAAAAAATCGGCCCGATTTTCAAATTTACCCCCCCCCCCCGCCCCTTGAACAAAATCTTAATACTGTCAATACTGGCAGCAGTAGCAGTTACAGTATTAGTAGTAGTACTACTAGTAGTAGTATTATTAGTAGTAGCAGCAGTAGTAGTATCAGTAGTAAAATCGTAACATTGATAATAATGGGTCAAAATATTGAATATTGATAGAAAGAATTGAATGCTTCAGGGCACCTTTTAAGTGCAGCTTGTATTTTATAAAGTAAAAGCAGTAGTAGTAATTAATACTAGTAGAAGTAGTAGTACTAGTATTGTAGTAGTAGTATTAGTAGCAGTAGTAGAAGTAGTAGTAGTAGAAGTAGTAGTAGTAGTAGTAGTAGTAGTAGTAGTAGTAGCAGTAGTAGAAGTAGTAGTAGTAGTAGTAGTAGTAGTAGTAGTAGTAGTAGTAGTAGTAGTAGTAGTAGTAGTAGTAGTAGAAATAGTAGTGTTAGCAGTAGTAGTATTCAACATAGGTATAATGAAACAATATTAATTACATTATAATTCAAAATAACAATAATAATAATAATAATACATAAGAGTTATAAGGCGCCAAATCCACTTGACAGTCAAATGCTCAAGGCGCAGCTTGTGCAAAATATGAAATACATGATACATAAAATATATATACAAAAGTGCAATAGGAAAGGTACAGACATGAAAGGTAATTGTAATCAATTATAAGCTAAATTAAACAGATATTTCTTAAGACTGTCGTTTCATGAGTCATGATTATTATTACAATATATTGTCTGTCCATGGAATCCAAATACTCGTGAATGAATGTCGGCCACTGGCGTATAGATTAGAAAAGAGCCGCCTTGTTCTTTTCGCTAAATGTGTTTTTCTTGCAAGAATAAGATATGATTATAGTAAGTACTACGAAAAATACAGGGTAAACAAATTGGCTAACTAGAGGCTACTTATAACTCCGACCAGGTTTATGCAATTTGGGGTGTGATGTTTAGGCCGAATGATATATGCAGATGAGACCCAAGCTTATATTGTTTTGAAATGTGATTCTGACCATTCTTGAAAGATGTATAAATGATATCAAAGCTTGGTCCATTGCTAATGATTGCAATTAGATGAGGATAAAACTGGGGTTATTCATTTAACATCTCGATTTAGAAAGTCCTCCCATTTACCATTTGTCGAAATTGCTAATGTTCCAATACAGCCTGTCAAAAGTGCACGTAACCTCGGTGTTATCTTTGAAAATAATCTTAGGATTGATGATTGTATAAAAATATTTGTCGCTCAGCTTCATATGCCTTGTACAAAATAGGTCGTATTAGAAATTTTCTTGATAAAAAAATCCACTGAAACGATTATACAGTGATACATTATATGCGTCAAGGGTGTAGAGGGAGTTGCAGATGTAACTGTATTGCTAAACAATTATTGAGCTGTAGTTGCATTGTCCTGTCTCCTCTTTTTACTACAGATTGTGGCGAAAATCCCTGTCAAAACGGCTGGTGTGAGGAGAATATGGAGAACTTCAAATGCCACTGCTCTACCGGATATCGAGGCAAACGTTGCAATGAACGTGAGAATAAAAACAATCACACTAATTATCTGAAAAGTCGGTTAGACGCATTATAAACCATCATACAACTCAATTTTTGCTAGTAACCTGAATTCGAGCAAAATTGATCAGCTTTATCAAAAGGTAAGGTAGCATAAGTGTACGATAATAAAAAAAATAATCCGATTTTCTCTCTGCCCCCCCCCCCCCTGCCCTCCATGCATGATTTCTGTCGGTCTGTCTATCTGTCTTTATCTCTTTTTGCCTTTCTCCTACTCTCTCGATTTTGCCTTTGTTATCTCTCTTTCCCCATTACCCTTCTCTCTCTTTCCAATTCCCTCCCTCTCTCCTCCTCTCTTTCTATTTCGCTCTCCCTTCCCCCTCTCTCCCTATCTTCCTCTATATTATTTATGTCTCTCTTTCTCTCTAATTTATTCTCTGTTACCATGCTCACCACCTACGTATACAATTTTTTTTCATTCTCCCTCTCTCTCTCTCTCTCTCTCTCACCATGCTCACCGTTTCCGTTTACAATTTTTTCATTTTTTTTCATTAACCCTTACTCTCTGTCTCATTCTCTCTCCACATTTTTCTTTCTCTCTCGATTACTATTTACATGTTTTCTCACTTCCTTTCTCTCTCTCCAATTTTCTCTTTCGTCTCTCCATGTCTCTCTCTCTATCTCTCTCTCTTTCTCTCTCAACATTTTCGTTCACTCTCGATTACTATTTTACATTTTTTTCTCACTTCCTTTCTCTCTCTCCAATTTTATCTTTCGTCTCTCCATGTCTCTCTTTCTTTCTATTTCATTTCCACTTCCACGCGTATACAATATGCTACAACATGAAGTAACATCCTATTCTCGGCAGCCGCTTACTAGGCGTCAAAAACTAGGAATTGAATATCATTGTCTAGTAAGATATGAATTTAAATGTATTTTGCCCTCAGAATGTGTCATCAGGCGTACATATCATATTTCTTCTGCAGAATCAACTACAGAACAAGATACCACGACGATGTCCACGATAGAATCTACCACCTCACATCCTACGACTACTCGTAAGAAAACTTCATTTACACTATGTCTCTCTCTCTCTCTCTCTCTCTCTCTCTCTCCTCTCCTCTCCCTCTCTCTCTCTCTCTCTCTCTCTCTCTCTCTCTCTTTCTCTCTCCATAATATGGAAACAAATTGAACTGTAGAGGCCTCGTTATACAGTCATGTCCTGACGACAGAGGGCAGAACTGCTGTAGCGATGGCCATGGGTTCAACTATACCCTACCCATGTTTGGCCCATGCCTGATCACGATTTAGCAAGAAGATGGGCCTAGGTTGAAGACCCGAGTCCCTAATAAGCTCATCCCAGCATCTCCTCTCGATGATACCCAATGCTCCCTAAAAGGGAGAAGAGTCTGTCGCCTTCCCGGTACGTTATGAGCGTTAATCCGGGGGGGGGGGGGCGGCGGCATATACCCCCGCCCAATTTTGAGGGAAGTTATTGCTTGTGCAATATAGCCCACAAAAGACCCAGACACAAATAAATAGATAAGTTAGTTGTTGAAAAGTTGGACATAATTGATATAAGTGACTCTTACATTAGTTAAAAGTTATTAGAATATATACGGGTAAGCGGACATTTTTTTTTCCTTCCCAAAATTTGAAAATTTGGCCGATCGATATTTCGTTTCGTTGGGGGGGGGGGGGTAAGGTCAGGTTATTTGGACATCCATCATCATATTTTTATTTTTATTTTTATCTATTATTATTATTTTTTAATTAAAACAAATGCAAAGGGGGAGGGGGTTTACTCCAAAACATACACATAAACAAAGTCAAAGGGTGGGGGGGGGGGGGATCAATCCCACCCCCTGCGTACGCACCTGGTCGGGGTCGAGGGGAAATTCATTCTACCCCTTCTGATAATCCTTATTCCACCCTTGTTCACCCTGTACTCTTCAACATGATTTTGTCTGTGTGTTCCTGAGCATTGAATGAGATTGCTGTAGATGTTTCATGCATGGTCTAGTGGATGAGTCCCCCGACTATAAAGCACAAGGTACGAGGTTTGAATCACTGTCATACTGTCCTTAGGCAACACATTCATCCAAAATTGTGACTCTCCACTCAGGTCAATGAAATGCTAGGACACCGTAATAGTAGCCATGGTAACAGCTGGGGTAAGATCAGTAGAAAACCAGGAGAGTCATGTATGAAAGACATGAGCGCATAACCCTCTATTCTTCATCGTATCCATCTTACTCTTTTCTTCTTCTTCTCCTCCTCTCTTCTTCTTCTTCTTCTCCTCATCCTTTTCTTCCTTTTCATCTTCCTTCTTCTTATTGTTCTTGTTCTTATTGTTCTTCTTCTTCTTCTCCCCCTCCTCACCCTTTTCCTCCTCTCTTCTTTATCATTTTCCTCTTTCTTCTTTTTTTTCTTTTACTCTTCCTCCTCCTCTTCCTTTTCCTCCTCCCTCTTTCTTAATTTTCTCTTTTTCTATTTCTTCTTTTTCTTAATATTGAAAAATGATTATGTTTAAATGTTGATGTTCATGATTATAATCATTATTGTTACTTTTATCATCATTATCATTATCATTAACAACATAATTACTCTTGTTGTTATAATCATTATGGTCACGACGACGACGATGATGATAGATCCGATATTCAAATGTGTGCTTTCCCGCCTAGCAATCGGTGTTTCTGATGAAAATTCTTCAAAAATCGTTGCTGACAAAGACACCACGACCACCATCAACGCCACCACCACCACTACAACCACCACAAAGTCAACAAGTACCCTGACCGATGAAGCAAGTAGTGAGACCCCGCAACTAACGACCACGGCAACTTCAGCATCGACAACGAAATCCCCAACAACGCCTTCACAAGACCGTAAGAATATATGCAAAAGAGGACCTTCGAGGCTCTGCATAAAACTACCCTTCGTTATAGATGAATGAAGATACAATACGTGATAAATAAATATAAAAGTAATTATGTACATAATAAATAAAGAAAGAAAGAAACTATTAATAATAGATAAATATATAAATATACATACAACTAAATAAATAATAAATAAATGAATATAAACCAATGATAAATGAAGATACAACAGAAAAAAAGGGAATGTTGTACGTGCAGTGAATCTAAAAAATATTATATTGAAGTCCTTCATTATTTTTTGTAAATTAATGTAAGGACCAAAATGATGATTCGAATACTTCTCATGGACATTTTTCAAGGTGAAAAGTAGACGCTTTGACCCCCCTCCAACCCTTCCCTTCCCCCCTCTCTCTCTCTCTCTCTCTCTCTCTCTCTCTCTTCCTCTCCATGGGTATGTCGTACATGCTTTGACAGAATGTCCCGTATTCCATACACCTGACGTGGGTGATACCAGAGTGTACACCTTTCCCGGCTTCTGGATTGCTGAGAATGTGACGTCATTTGACTTCTTGGTCAGCGCTGACAATGATGCGCACATTGGACTCTTCGCAAGTAACGTGACACACGAAAAATATGAAATAGGTGAGTTAGCGTCGCTGAGTGTTGGAGTCAAGGGCAGCGATCCGGGTAGGCGGGAGGGGACACCACCCCCCCCCCCCCCCTAGGCTCCTCGAAATATTTCTTTGGAGGATCTCCCCCCCCCCCTCCCCCCTCGAGAAATATTGATAATCTTCTCGATCCGTCACGACGGACTCTCGCTTAAAAATTAAAAGTTTTAAAATCAATGATATCGTAGAAGAGTGTACACCCAGGGAGGAGGGAAGTAGTATGAGTCGTATGTATCAAACAGGCAGAGATTCAATTGTGTGTATTGTCTGTCTGTTAAGGCCAAATAAAAAACAACAACATGTTTTTGCGTCCTGCCTATCTGAAAAATAGGAAGGAGGAGGCCCCTTTTTTTTCTTTCAAAATTGCCGCTCAAAATGCATGCCGCTCGGTACATTTTCCCTGACGGTCGGGCTATTTTTCAAGATGGCCGCCGGCATTTTCTTTAATTTTTTGTTTAATTCAGGATTATTAATTCTTTTTTTAATAAAAAAAAAAACAGAAAACAGAAAAAAAAAAAAAAAGGAGGCGGCCTCCAAAAAAGAAGCGGGCGGGGACGCTAAACATGAATATATTTTTAAATGGCCTTATACTACACGAAAGAAAAAAATTCAAATTTCTGAAAGAGTTTACCCTATAGTTTGCTGGCTCAATGATCTAACTTTATGTAAGATATGTGTCTTTGACTCCTTCTCTTCCTCTACTTTTCTCACACACACGCACAAACACACATATATACACACTCTCTCCCCCCCCTCTCTCTCTCTCCTCCTCTCTCTCTCTTCCCTGTCTCTCTCCCGTTTCCCTATCCTTTACCCCTAGGTTTTATCCCCCTTCGTCCCCATTCCATGGAAAGGGGTAGGGCTCGTTTGGAAGGGGGGAGGGGCAATACACTCTGTACTACTCGCCCTCTCATCGCGCTTTACTACTTTCACGATGTATCACGTATTGAAAGCTTTCCACGGGTGGTGTGGTGTGGGGTGGGGTGGGGTGCACTCTAAAAACTGAAATGTTAAATCATTTAAAAGGGCCGAGGAGTGACCACTCTTTCAAAATGGTAGATTAACACTTTGAACATGCTGGAACCAACACTATAAAAGGTTGAATCTAGCAGGTTAAAAGAAACAATCTGACATTTTGAAAGAGTGGTCACTCCTCGGCCCTTTTAAATTGACATTTAACATTTCAGTTTTTAGAGTGTGGGGAGGGGTTGGTTACGAGGAATCTTGCGCATCAATGACTTCTACTCTCTCTTACTTTTCATTTTCTTTTGGGAAAAGAAATGAATATATGAACCTGTGAACTTATATCTATCATAGCTATCGGTGGATGGAGCAATACTGGTGGACATATCGTACGAGCTGCCAGTTCCGGTACTTCTATGTGGCAAGTATTATCTCCTTCCAAAGTAATCTCTGTCCGTCTTTCGGGAATTCAGGTTTACAACCACTACCAGCTATCCTTTGCCAACGGTCATATTAAGTTAAGCCTTTATGGTACACAACTGGCCCTTATGAGCGCCACTGATCCGAATCCTCTTGCAGTCACCTATGTCGGAATATGGACTGGATATGGATCACAAGGGTATTGGAAATTCCCGACATTCTGCCAGGAAAGCCAACGTCAGGATCCTGCATAAATGCTGGTTGAGATATGAAGACCAGAAATTAATTGAATCTTAAAGTCAATCGCTGTTAAACTTGGGATTGTCACTGAATTTAAAACCTTCATTATAAGCCTTTTCTCGTGATGATATACAGGGCATCGTTTCACGAAGCAGTCGTAAGTAAAGTTCGCCGGCATCCCATGTAATACACGCGTTTTAATCGGATAATAGTGAACTTGTACGACGGTTTCGTGAGACCTTAACCTGTTTTATACAACTATATTTTTATAGCATGGTAAAATACAATAATGTGACATTATTAATCCCAGTAATGGTAGGTCGTCTATATGGAAAACAGCCGGAAGAAAGACCTTGTAAAGAATTCTTAAATGATTATTTAAAGAATGTGGAGTTCATTGCAGAGAAATTAAATTTATTTCCTTTTCATACCCCGTGCAATTTGTTAAACATAGAGAGCAATACAGTAAACAAAACCCAAAATCAGAAAATAAAAGAAGGCGAAATAAAAGTAGGCGTAAATAGAAGATGGCGAAAATGAAGAGGTAATCTGAAGATCGTAGCATTTGGGTAAATATTTGTTGTATAAATTATTGAGGTCATCAAACCTGTCAATATTTTGACTGATGACCGTATTTATTTTAAAGATGAATTCTTGATATGATAAGACTGGAAGATGCCTATATAGAAAGTTTAAATGTTGTAAACATATCAAAATCACAATTAATATTGTTGCACCTGAGAAATGAAGACTGATTATCTTAGAATTCAGTGTTGAAGAATATACCTTAAGTTAGTCATCACTATATAAGTCAGTCATCGCAATGTAACTTACTTGAATATTAATTTATAAGTTTTAAATTGTGGTAAATATTTTTCATTCTTCTGTACATAATAATTTTCCACTAAGTATTTTTTGAGTATTTTCGAACAGTTTATTAACTGTAGAGGCAACCTTGTATAAAAAATAATATTACTCTCATTTTTCTGCTTCTATCAAAACCAACATAATATCAGGGTGGACAATGTAACTTACTTGAATATTAATTCATACGTTTTAATTTGTTGTAAATATTTTCCAGTATTTTTGAGTATTTCTTTTTGTATAAATTATGATATTGTTTGTATTGATTGTTATCTATGCAGCAGTTTATTAACTATAGAGGCAACCTTGTATAAATAATAATATTACTCTCATTTTTTTCTGCTTTATCAAAACCAACATAATATCAGGGTGGACAATGCAATTTACTTAAATATTAAATCATATGTTTTAATTTGTTGTAAATATTTTCCAGTATTTTGAGTATTTCTTTTTGTGTATGATATTGATTGTATTGATTGTTATCCATGCAGCAGTTTATTGACTGTAGAGGCAACCTTGTATAAATAATAATATTACTCTCAATATCATGTCGGACTTCCCCCTTTAAAGTCTAAAGAGGATTCCGCCCAAATGCGTGGATACGCCACAGATTTTCCAAACGAAGAATGCAAACTTTAACTGTAAAAGTTATACTCATATATTCAAGTTTTAATTGTAATTCAGTATTTTTGACACAGCCTTGTATTCGTAAAAGCGATAGGTTATTCTCATCAGTAATCTACGTTGTATAAAGTGTCTATCATATCCTCCCAATCCTGTATAAACCACCATAATTCTGTATAAAAAATTAAAGATTGTACCCATTAAAAGAAATAAATAAGTAAATAGATTAATTGATATTTATACGTGTTTTTTGCAAAATTTGCATGCTGCCATGGTAACGATAGATTGTACATACTATCACTTGAATTATTTATACTCCTGTGTTGGCATTCTAATCACCAAGCAGAAATTTGTTTTTCTTTTTCCACAATTATGACAACACATTCATTTTTGTAATGATAAAGCTTGTGATCATCGAACTGTAACTAGATATATCAATGTCAATTACAATAACAATGTCAAAATCGATCTGCGTATAATATGATTGGGATTTATTGATCAATGCAACGAATGGCCGTTCATTGAATCTCTCTTTAATTTGCGTTTCCTTTCATGTTTATCTTGCAATCACATTGTCCTGTCCATGACCATCACAGACTTAACTTTCTTTAAATCTCAACTGAAATCCTACTTGTTTAAAACGCATTTTAATGTCATTTAAACTACATTATTGTATTCATCAACATTTAATTACATTACTTTACTTTAATTGTCATTATTTGCTTTCATTTCTCTGTAATTGATGTTTATAATGATAATTATTAAAGATAAACTTTAGTACTGGTAATGCGATTGCATTGTGAAAGAAAAGGTGTGGAAAGGATCAGAAACAGTTGATCATGTAGCATGTAAGTATTGGTGTGCACTGCAAGGTTCTGGAGTCATCAAAATCATAATAAATTTGACCGAGTCTTGGTAAAGTAACAAGGACTCACATAGAAAGCTATATATGGGACAACACACATGGTGTCGGGGCTAGTACTACCTTGATTTCCTTGTCTTTCTATGCTCATTACTCAGCCAGTATACATTTTCTTCCAAAATTGTTTGGCACATGTCATTTATTTGTAATCTTGAACATTCAGTGTAAGTTTCGTTTGATTCTGTGAGAATTTTTTTTTTTTTTTACCAGTACTGGAGTTTATCTTTAATCTTGTCCTTATTTTTTTTTTTTTTTTTTTTTACCAGTACTGGAGTTTATCTTTAATCTTGTCCTTATTTTGACATTTCTTTAGTTCATGAATTAGTCAGTTATGTGTAATTTTGTTGTTTTAATATTGTAAAGCGCATTGATATTTTCTCCAAAGATGAAAATGCGCTATATAATAGAAGCCTATAGGTTATTATTTTATTAACATGATCAAATTGTAAATATTATGGACTCATTTCTAGGTTAAAAATATTTGAAAGAAGGATAAATGTAAATCATGAAACATCAGTTATCTTTTTGATTATCTTAATCTTTTGTTTATTTATCGTATAATACTTAGATGTATAATTACATTATTCATTCTGTACGTAAACTACTATTGACAATTTGACATTGCTCATGAAACTTTTGTGTGTTCATGCACAGCCGTTTTTAGGTATCGTATATAAAAAGGATGAATTCATCTTTGACATGAACAACACAAATTCATCAAAACATCATCCTTTTTTCCCCTTCTAGTCATCGATTGGAAAGTCAGGTTTCGTTTCTTAATAAATACAATAGTAGCTGTGAAATTTCATTTCTGAGGTCAATTACTTTTCGTGTCCGTTACAGGTATTTTAAAAGAGTATAAATCACACACACCAAGGTTGTTTCAATATTGTTTGTATGGTTTGTAAGAACATTTTTAAGAGAGAATTAGAGCTGTCAACAATGGAACATCCCCTTCGATCGACACTTATGACCCACATACAACTTTTCAGAATGCCCGTCAGTGCCACATGGTCAATCTGGTGGCTTGTTAGTCTCGTAGAGTCGCATGGGCTGTGTTTCGTGCTGGTCGATTGGACACATACTGAAGAATTAACATTGTTTAACACTTGTTAATTTATAAGACCGACATTTTATAATTTGGCCTACCGGCGAAGAAAGTTTTGGGATTCAAAATAAGAATGTGGAAGCTTGATTTATTTCTAATCAAAGCTAGTCACAATGTAGTTCAAATTATGCGTGTGAATGGTGTGCATGACAATCCGATTTAGATGAACTTTAAAGGCCCTCCCAATTTGCAATCACTGTAAATAAACGAAATTGCTATATATTTATGGGTTGAAATACGAACAGTTGTTCTTGTTGCTATATAATCAAGTTGAAGATATCGTCCTATTCAGGAAAGATTATAGTTCAATTTAAATGTTTTTTTAATGTATTTGATTATAGTATTGTCTGTATTTACTTTCAGTGTTAGTGAAATAAAATAAAATAAAAGAGTAATCTTATACTCGTGCAACACGTCTTTTATCGTTCAAGAGCCAATATCTTCTCGCTCTCTCGCTCTCTCACTCTCCCTCCGTCCCCCTATGTATGTATGTGTCCGCCTGTCCGACTCTTAATTTCTCTCTCGATCTCCCTCCGTCCTCCTCCTATATGTATGTACGTGTCCGCCTGTCCGACTCTTTCTCTCTCGAACGTTCTCCGTCTCTCGATCTATTTGTGTATCTATCTCAATCCGTTTTTGTCTTTGTCTGTCTCCCTCTCTCTATTACACACACACTCTCTCTATGCATCAGTTCATGTTTCTTCACATACAGACATAAATAAAAAAAACACTGCATGGAGGATACTGATAGTTGAAGAATGTCTATAATTCATAAATATGGCATATGTACATCATGTGTGCAAATCATTTTTATATCTATAATACAGTACAATACAGAGCAGTGCAAGACAAATTTCAATTTTAAAAATAATAGCACAAAAAAAAGAAGACAAAAAATCTCCACATAGTATACAGTAAGGGTATATCTACACATTGCTGTTATATTAGTTCTCAGCTTAACAAAGACCTACATGGATAATGAATACATTCAAGAAGGGGGCAACTGAGCAGTTATGTAGTTAGAAATGAATGAATAGATCTTTAAAAATTGGTATTTGCATGTAAAGACAACTACATAAAATACAGAGCTTGAATCCATTTTCAGTAAGGGCCACATTTAACGCTAGAATTACCTGCATATGAAAAAAAAGGTAAGGGTTCTCTTGAATACACATTAGCCATAAATAGATAAATAACTTGAATAAATAATGTAACTTGTATAACTTGTATGAGGCAGAATTGTTCATCAAGTCAGAAATTGCTATGAGCTTCAAAATGAATATATAATCACTAAATGATAATAGGCTTCAAGAGATTCAAATAACCTTGAAAACAAGTCTTGATAAAAAGTTGTTGCATGAACTGTTACCTTGCTACTAACGAACAATCCCAAGCATTGAAATAAAATTACAAAGGGTAGATTATGAAAATGTCAAAAATAATTTTTATTTGAAATGCAGTCATTAAAAGTCGAGAGATAATGTAATGGGAGTTTGACAGTTTGCACTTGTAAGTGATTTAATACTCAACATCCTAAACAATAATATATGTATTATACAAGAATATGTCCCCTCTATTTCAGGTTGCATTCCATGAAAAAATACGCTATACCAATAAAACCATCATAATATACATTTCAAAGCAGCACAAGACATAGTAACCATTAAAGTCAACTAACTTGAAACTCAAGAGGATTGGCAGACTTTAAATGTAAAAACGAAAAGGAAAGAAACATGAAGCTTTTGAGAATTGTGTTTCAGCATCTAATTATAACCTTTGGACATAATATCATACATTCTTTTAACGATTTCAGACACTTTGAGTGATTTCAGTAATAAATGTATTTACACATTAATACCAAGTACATTTTCACTCAATGTCTACATGTAACATCACTGTAATGGACCGATTGGTGATTGACATACATTAAAGGCTTAAGTTGATTTGGTTAACAATATCAACAGTGCTACAGAATGAACAAAATATGAATACAACCAATGAAGATATGAAAGTACATCAATAACGTACTATAGAAATTGCACAAACTGACCAATCAGTAATTTTTCCAATACCATTCACTAAACGCCTTACACTGCAATTAACAATAGATATGGTCGTCACGTGTATCTTAATTGGAAAATTTTAAACAAAACATTGTGGCCATTACACTCATAGTGCTATAATCCGCTTATACTATTTACTTGTTGTTTATCACATTAAAGTCTAATGCTGCATGAGGTGAGTTCTGAACTAAAATACATTTGATATGCGATTCTCAAGGCATGCTTTCAAGGTTTCAGATTATCAATTTTATGAAAATAATATTCATCGACATTATGGTATCAAAGATATTTTTAGAGATAAAACCACATCAGTCCAGTTAAAAGAGAGCCACTTTAGGAGGAAAGAATATAATCTTACTCTGAGCATGTCCTAGAAGGCCAGCAGCAGGACTTTAAAATCTATTCTGTAGTACCTGACATGAGGCCATGGCAGTTCAGGCAACTTGTTGGTCTATAGAGGGGGTGTTGATCAAGCTTCCTCATCAGTGTCGATGTCTACCTGTTGGTTGGTCTATAGAGGGGGGTGTTGATCAAGCTTCCTCATCAGTGTCGATGTCTACCTGTTGGTCTATAGAGGGGGGTGTTGATCAAGCTTCCTCATCAGTGTCGATGTCTACCTGTTGGTCTATAGAGGGGGGTGTTGATCAAGCTTCCTCATCAGTGTCGATGTCTACCTGTTGGTGTATAGAGGGGGGTGTTGATCAAGCTTCCTCATCAGTGTCGATGTCTACCTGTTGGTCTATAGAGGGGGGTGTTGATCAAGCTTCCTCATCAGTGTCGATGTCTTGGCCCTCTTCCTCCTCTGCTCTGGATGCCTCTACCTCACGCTGAATGGCCCTGAGGGCAGCAACACACCACACAGTCACACCCAGCGAGCCCACAGGCTGAGACTCATCATGTACATTCACCACTGGAATGATCGAGGAGAGACAGATCAAATGATTACAAAACATTATGTCATGGTTTATAGAAATCAATATTCAATATTCCCCTTTATAAGAACTAGACAAAGTTTTTTTTCTCCCTTTTACTATATGGCTCCTTGTCTTGACATTTCTTTACATTGTCTCCTATGCTTTTTAGTATAATTACCTTTTCTGTAACTATTTCAAAATAGAATTAATAAACATTTTGATTTACAGTAAAGGTTCCATCTATGATGGTGAACTGGTGAACACATATCAGTGAACTGGGCTTAAATATTTCCATTTAAAAAGTATTTTTAAACTTATTTCTAATGTAATATAATTGGAAATCTAAAATTATGCTCACCTTCTATATCTGTGTCAGTGAGGTCACGACCCTCCTCCAGTAAGGCACGGAGGTCAACGTAAGCATAACCCACTTCAATGCAATCACCATCCTCTTGAAACTCATCTGGAGGTTCGCTCACAACAGTGAAACGAAGCCTAGTAAGAAACACACACACAGACAGACAGACAGACAGTGGTGAAAACTTAAGTTTGCCTTGAGGGGGATATGAGACAATATGGCCCAATCATAAACCTGTTGCCCTAGTTTTGGAAGGGTGCAGGGTATGCCCCCATTACTTGAAAACAATGGGCTAGTCAAAACTATTGTTTATACACCATTGTTATCATAATTATCAGTATTAATAGATGTATCATGGTCTAGTGCTTGTCTATAGCCAGGGTAATAGTAGTTGACAGCACGTTGTATCCACAGGAAAGAGCATCTCACAAATCAGCTTTATCATTATTATTATCATTATAACTTACATCTGCCAAGATAGTATACAAATATACACTGCCTTGAGAGGTTCTGGTTAAAACTATGCGCAAGAGGTGACTCCAATAGTACTATTTGCTGAGGGGCGCCCCGAAGCAAATAGTACTTTTGGAGTCACCGAGGCCCATAGTTTAACCAGTACTTCGAATAGAAGGCATGGTATATTTGTTTTATATCCTGCATCAAAAAATTATTTAAAAAATTAAAAATAAAAAAAAATAAAAATTTGGAAGAAAAAAATTTAGAACAAAAAAATGTCAATTTTTATCTAAAAAGATTTAAAATATTTTGTTTTCATTAAATTAAGATTTGAAAAAAAACTCCCAAATAGTAAACCAAAATAGTACTCTCATATAGTACTTTCTAAAAATAGCTCAAATATTTTTGGTCATGTGACGAGCTCTCAACCAACCAGAAGCCAACAAATTTTTGATGCAGGATATAATATACTTTATATCATGGTTTGCTGGTCCACCAACATCAACAAAAATGAACTGATTTGAGGAGGATCTTTATGCCCAATTTAAACCGGGGAGGCAATCGCTGCTTTTTATGAACAAAATTTGACAATACAAGAGACATACCTTCCCTGCTCACTATGGTCTGGTCTCAGAAAGTCTGCCAGGTAGTTTCTTTTAGTCATGTCTCCATCAATATGGATCACTGTAAACAAACATAATGTAGCCAAAATTATTCATAAAATTAATCATGTCTCAATTATAAACATCTTTACAAGGATTTGAGATATAATTGTAATGTAAGCTACTAATAAAGCCTTAGTCTAAGTCCTACCACAAATTCATTCTACTCTATACTAATTCCATACCATAATGTAACTTCTGCCATGTGGTTAAGTATTGTTAGCTTAATTGACTATAAGAAGCTTTTGAATGCATAATTAATAATCTTTTACATTACTAAACATTGAATCAATAAACAAATATCAATTAACAGGATCTAACAAAAGATTGAAAGGAAAAATAGCACCAACAAAAACACAGCCAACCGAATATTAAAATTGAAACAAAGAAAAATACTGTAAAACCCAAAGCATAACTATAGGGGAAAATGTGGCCTTGCTTCTAAACAATGAAAAAATGATTAGGGGATTTATTTTTAGACTACTGCTCAAAAGGATAGACTAATGATAAACATACCTTTGTGAAAATTATATGACAATTCAAAGGGTCCATTTGGGCCAGGTTTGGGGAGCGAGAAGGGTGTCTCAAGTTCTTCTTGAGCGATGCCAAGAAACTGATACTCTATAAAGAGCCTGTGAAGAGAATCATCTGTAATGAGAGCTGCATCTTGGTCTATGGTCAGCTGGGCGATGTTGATTATGATGGTATCTTCGTTCTAAAAACAGAAAAGGAAAGAGAACATTAATTTGGCTAGCGTATTCTGGTATTTGAATGAGGATGATGAAGACATTGCTCAATATTTGTTAGGAGTGTTGGGAAATATAAAATGTGGGATATTTTGAGAAGGGCTTAAATACACAATGAGAATGGAAGTGAGTACGAATCCAATTACTACAAAATATACAGGATGCTTTTACTGATTCATGCACACAAGGTTTCACTATATAATAATATGCACTTTGTTTGTATTCACAGTTTTAGCTTTGTAGTAAAAAAAAATGCAAGAAGAAAACTCCAATTATTTCGTAAAATCTCCAAATGTGCTCTGTTTACAATAAACTTATAATACAGAAAGAAAAAACAGAAAACTTCTTTCCAATCCAATCAAAAATATAATTTTCATATACCGGTAGTGCCATTTCATGATTTCTTTAGAATAAGCAGATCATAAACCTGCTAAGCTTAGCATATATATACTTACAGCCATGACTGAGACAGGTCTGGATGGTGTTGATGGCATGATCACACTCTCACTATCACTAGAGATGATGCTTTCATTCTTAGCTACTCCTGGTTCACCCTCCTCCTCCTCCTCCTCATCATCATCTGGCTCCGGAATATCAACATCTTCTTCTATGGAGGATTCATCGACTGGGGATAGAATGAAAACATGAACTTGTTGGGTAGAGTATTTCAACATTTAAATAAATATTTCATCATCCTTTTGTGAAACATTGAAGGATCATCTGTCTTTGTGTCTGAATGTTGTTGTTGTTGCTGGCTGCTCCTGATGTCTCTCTCAATTTTCTCTCTTCCTCTCTTAATTCTCTCTTTTTGTCTCTCTCTCTCCCTCTGTCTCTCTCTGTCTCTCCTCTACCATCCCTCCATTTCCCTCAATCTCTCTGTAGCAATTAAGTTATATTTTTATGTTTTACTTCTCATCTATTTTCCTCTTCCATCTCTTAATTGATCTTTCATTTATGCCAATTCCCTGTTACTGACTCTAAAAAAGTGTGTACGTCTTTACTTCTTTTCTCATCCACACACTTTCTCTTTGTGTCTATTCATTTTCCATCTCAGTCCCTACAATACCCCCCCCCCCCCCCCTCTCTCTCTCTCTTTCTCTGATATCTCATTCAATAGAGAAGTATTTTGTAGAACATGAATGAAATGTTTGAATGTTGGATTACTTACAGTCATTCTCTTCATCAGGGGCAGCAGCATCTCCAAACATTGTATCCTCATACATCTCTGTCTTTCCAATCTGTCACAACAAATGAGTTAATACATGTAAGCTCATCTTCCTAGAAGCTATATGAAAAACATTCAATGAATTTTTTTTCTTAATACTCTTTCTATTATTTACACTTCAATTTAACTTTTCAATTTTTCATTTTAATTTCATTTTTTATATTGTTTTCATTTCATTTCAATTTTTCTATTGTTTTCATTTTAATTCTTACAAGTCCTGTTCAGTCCATGAAAATAAATATATATATATATATATATATATATATTTCACTTTTATTACCTGACAAATGAACTGAATCATTATTAAACCAGCCTAAAAATTTACTCTGGCCTTGTGCATCATGGTTTCATATATCTTAATATTTATCATACCTGGGTTGTATCCTCATTGAACTCTTTTTGGAGTTCTTGCGCCACTAGATCATTGTCATCATCTTCTTCGTCTGCTGCTGCTGGCGTCTCTGCTCCAAACTTCTCTTCCTCCTGCTCCTCCTTTTCTTGCCGTTCCATCTCTCCTGCAATCTCCCTCTCCAGATCATCCACAGAGTCACCCTCCTCAACCTCTGGCACTTCCAGGGCTGTCTCATCCTCCCTCTGTTCTGCTTCTTGTGGCTTGGTGATAGAAGATCGTCTTCTTTGGTTTGCTCTCTCCTGCTTGGTCTCCTTCTCACCCTATAACAACCACCAGACAAATGAAAATCTTTTAAAATGGAATCTTAACAGATGATTTGTAAATTAATATATACCTCAAAGGAAATATATTCAAAACAATAAGATGGAAAGAAAATAGTGTTTGGCCCGAATATCTAATGAATATCTGTCTCAATGCAATAATTTACATCTGACAGATCTGACAGATGAATGACAATTTATTACACTTGCTATATGTGTCTAACCAGCACTTTTTCTTCAAAAACAAATGTTCCCTTTTAATGTGATTTCATTTAACAGACTGTACATACATGTTTCTTAGAAAATAAAATAAATCACATTGTTGTACTATAAATTACATTTTCACATATAGATGGTAATAATAATAACAGGTCCATTTATATATATCACAGCTACATGTACTATATGAATATACTCTACTGCGCTAAATACAAAGTATAATTATGATTAACCCGGCTGTAATTGAGCTGCTGTTAAAAGGTGCTAAAGATCACATTCTAAGTCCTCCTTGCAACTTATGATTCCTAATATCTCAGAAGAACAACATTCTTAGAATAATCTCAAACAACGGGGCTGTAAGAAAAAAGCTTAATAGTTTGTTTTTCAAAATTGCAAAGTGAGTTTAATAGCAAAGATGTATATGCAAACAGGAAGAGAGAAAGTAAAAACAAGTTAGCAGATCATAGAAAGAGAGAGAGAAAGAGAGAGAGAGAGAGAGAGAGAGAGAGAGAGAGAGAGAGAGAGAGAGGGCAAGGGAATGGACAATAATGAAGAACAGAATATTGCCAATGAAGTTGGAACTGCATAGGGAATCTAAGGGCACTGCAAACACACATATATATCAGATGAAGGCAGAAGGCATTTGGAGTAAAAAAAAAAAAAAAAAGGACTTCATTGAGACAAAATAGTTGAAGAGAAGAGACCTAGCTGCTAAGCTGTAGGGACAGACTTGAACATGCTGAGCACATATATCCAACAATGTTGCCCACTACATGAAAGGGGAAAAAATGAAGCAACTAATGGATATATGATTCTTTAATGCTATCACTAAAATGAAACTCACTAATGATCAATGAAGGAGTTTATAATTTGTAAGATGATTTACACTCATGCAATCTAAAAGAAATATCTACACTCTCATTCATGCAATTACATGTATCAGCTGTGTATGCAAATCTAAAATCAGTGTTTCCGTAGAGACAAAAGGCACATTGGAAATCATGGCTCAACATGATCCACACTCAAATGAAATGGCACTTTATTCAAACGATGATACTTCATGGAAAGTTATCCACTCATTGTGGTAGACATAATGATCAGGGATATTAGGAAAGAAATTTCATATCATTTGCAAATGAAATGGTACATCTATCAATGCCTTAATAGCATTTATTCATCATCAATCTAACTCTAGGACACATCATAACAATGACAAAAAATAAAAATGAAAGAGTATATATCATGTTACTACTTAGAAAATCACAGCAACTGAATGTTACAGGGTGGGATAAGGGATGTTAAAAAGGTCATGTCTATTTGCAAAACTAACAACTTACTCTCTTGATATGTGTGTACATGGGTTAAACCTATACACACACACATGTGATGTAAAAAAAGTACAGTCTATATGCTTCCCTTTTTTAGTGCTGTATGGGGGGGGGGGGGGTTTCAGCTGCCCAAATTCTGAAATACTTTTGGATGAAGAAAAGCTTGTCCTTAAAAGTAAAAACAAGCTTGATACCCTGACACTTTATTTCTAATCAAGATAAACAATGAAATTTTAGTTGTGATTCATACTTAAGTTGTGATTTGTACATTGGTATCATCTGGGTCAAACAACTCCTTGCAAATACTGCCTAATTAAACTTCACAATTATAGAAAAACAACCAATATTTCCCCCCATTGCTCTTGAAATTCATGATTTCCATAACAACTTTATTACGAGGTGAAGATAAACTTGAATGACTTCCGAAATGTGAGAGTCTTATGCCAGGGTTTGCAAATAGTTATGACAACCTACCAGATTGGGGTACATGATAGCTACCTGTGGGGCTACAGGGGTAATCGTGATGATGGGAGGGGTGGGATTATCTTGGAGATTACTTGGATCATCCTCTGTTTCTTCTTCAGTCTCCTTATTAAAAACAAACATCCATGGAACCATATACATTCACACAACACTTCAATAATTATATAGTGACATATTCTTATTTTTGCAGGAGTACAGCATGATGCATCTATTAAATACATAGCTTGTTACCCTCCTGCGAAGTCAAACATGCCCATATATCCACACAGCAATAAAAGATATTAAAAATCTCTAAACTATTCAACTTTGTTGATAAAAGAATACGGTGGTGACAAATAAGTTTGAGGCTGTAGCATACTGTGCAATTAACCTAATACATTCATGGTGCCTTCTGTCAACATTAGGGGTGTTTGTCACATAACATCAAACAACAATCTGTGCATAGTATGGGTAGGGGGAGGTTAGGAGTGTGCAGGGGGGGGGGGGGGGTGAAACATCTACCTTTTGGGGAGTAGGGGGTGTAACGGAGATGACGGGAGGGGTAAGGCTAATCTCTTTCTCTTCTTCTGTCGCAGGAATCTTTTTTGGCCCTTTCTTCTTGGCCTAGTGAAGGGCAGCATGCAAACGGGTATAGAGTTTATAGAATCGTCTTAAAACAAATCAATACATTGACCACAGAATAGGAAGCTAAGCAGAACAAATATGCTATATCTCCCCACAAGTTATGACGAATGTGAGACTTGATCAATTTCCAATACTGCTTACATATAATATTTCTCATTCCAAAAGATACATATACTAGAAAACAGTCATATACAATCGCACGGTAATCTAAGTTGATACGTTAGTCAACGTAATGGTAGACAGACACAAAATACAGGTAAACCAGTCATCAATCTATGCATGCATGTTTTAAATATCGAGGTCAGCTGGATAAGATTACTAAAACCATCACCAACACTACTACCACCAAGCTGCTTATCAACATGCACATTGAAACAATAATGGTTTGGCTTATTATAACAACAAACATGAATGGTCTTTTTTTAAATAAATGAAATGAGGTGAAAATCACCTTTTCATGCTCATTTAGAGGAAATTAGAATGTAGTAGGAAAGGGGACTGATCGATACTGTGTTCAATGCACTGATGTTTTTTTAACAAGATTGCGGCATGACGTTTGCAACATATTGAAAGTTTGATCAGAATATTTCATTTATTGACCTTTAGCAGAGCTTTACAATGCACATCAATAATTCAAGCAAGCAGCATCACCATGCATGCCATGCATAGCAACAACAATGCTTGCATGATATGAATAAAGGCTAGCCCAGCATGACTGAGCAAATAGCAGATGATGGATGATCTTACCTCTTGAACCTGTGGTAAGAATGGCCCTGTATTATTCAGTCTATCCCGTGAGTTACGTCTTTCTGGGGCTGAGCTAGATGGTGTAGATGACGCTGTGGGTTAAGATTCAAGTTTTTGGTGATCTACTTGTAAAGAAGTTATCACTCAATATAAATTTCAATAATATCCATGAAATTTTCACATACCCATGATTCTTTCATTTAATTTTCAAAAGTGATTTTTTTTTTCTCACCCATATATTATAAAGCGTGAATGGAAAATTTGATAACTGTCCCTTACAAATATAGCACTGCAATCATTAAGATCTGCAAAAATTCAATCACTTTGCGAGAGCCTGTGTAGTGTCATGCTGTGACTTGGAATAGGGTAGCAACATAACAACATGAATGTTTTCAAATATTTTTTTTTCAGATGCAGAAATATGTTTATGTGAAATGAAAACAAACATAAAGTATCTAAAGAAAGATGAGACGAAATATTCTGGTGGAATAGTTTTGATTTAGAAGGGTGTAGCGATATCATCATGGCATTATGGTGGCCTGTTGATGGTAAGTATTTTGGGGTAGCTAAATGCCTTTGCTTACAATAGCATCAAATTTCATAAATGAGCTCAACGTTATGATGGTGCATTACATACACAAATAATAAATGAAATACTGCCTGTCATCAATGAGGATGATTTTTTTGTATCCTTACCTACAGGTTTCAGTGGTGGTTTATCCCTGGTTGGTGTCATATCCAAGCCTCTTGGTGCTGGGGAAGGTCTGGCTATGCGTTCCTTGGGCTGTGGTGGCCCTGATGGGGGCATGGACGGGGGTCCAGTTGGGGGCGCTGTAGGAGGCGCAGATGGGGGCTTGGGGGACCTACCCATGGGAACAGGGGCTTTAGCTGATAAAGGTCTGGTGGTAGGGGGCTTGGGAGCTGTGCTACTTGATGGAACAGGTGGCTGTAATGTGTAAATGAATAGGGCATGATGGCATAAGTAATATGAGCAACTGACAGCTTACTTTGATGGGCATGTATGTACATGCTGCATATGATGTATAACCTGACCAAGTCAATCTTACAATAATGTCAGTTGCAGTAAATGGATAGCTCATAGGAAGGAATCTGTTGGCTCCTGTCAGGATCACAAAGTGATGGAGAAGAAAACTTAATCAGAACAAAAATCATCATCATAAGATTGATTCAATATGGTGGAAAATGAATTTGCTGACTGCATGGTTCTTTTTTTTGGCAGCTTAAGTCAGCTAATTTGCCTGCACAGTATTTATTTTTAAAGCAAATTTGTATGTGGTAGTATGGCTTTTAATGAAAGTGTGATTGTAGCATAATACAAAATTGTAGTCACATTAGAGCAATAAATAGCATTGGAGTAACATTAGAGAAGAATATATACCTTCTGTGGTGTATGAATGACCTTTGGCGCCATGTAGGTATACTGCCATCTGATCATCACATCAATCGTTCCATTGGCGCCCTCATTCTGTCACAACAAATCAAGAATGTTATACAAATGTGGCATCAAAGGAGAAGTCAAATTAATATTTTTGGTGGTATGCTGATATAAACATTTACAATATCAGGTAGAAATGTTGATAGCTAAGGAAATGCATCTTTAGACGGGTTGGTATATATTCCTATGCTACTTATATCAGCAACATTCCATGCACATGTATATGGTATTCTTTGGAACATCATAATTTTATTTGGTCATCAACAAATAAGAAAGGAGATTAAATGAATGATGTTATCATTCCATTTACTTCAGCAAAAAATGCACAGTATAATTACTTTATTTCCTTACACATACATGTACTACATGTACAAGGTAATGTTGACAAATGTAGTGTCCTGGATTGAAATAAGACAATGACTGCCTTAGAAGAATGGAAGATCAATTTTTCTCTTTTCTTTGTGAATGAAAATGCAGCCTCAGATGCTTCAAAGTTAGATAAAGAATTTTTATCACTCGCTGAATGTGTAAGGAATTCAAAGGTAATAACAAATTTGTTGATAATGAAAATGAACTTTATAAACACAGATGAAGGTAGTTTATTTACATTTCTGAGTTCAAATGTTCCCTTCATTGGTTTGTTGTTGACTAAGCTGATGAGAGGAACCTTGGCCACTCCTAGGTAGGCTGTATCCTCTGGATCCGTGTCATCAAACACATAGAAATCAAGAGTCTGCAAAATAAAAGAATTTAAAATAGAGATGATATAAGATTATTAAGTAATCAAATGAATATATATAATCATATTGGTTACTATTCGGGCCATTAAACAAATAAGACTTTTAGGCGCATTTTACTTAATTCTCCAGGAGGTCCCTCCTGACATTAAATTCAAAATACATCGAAGAACAAAATAATTGTGTAAAAGCATGTTGACTAAAGACACAGTTTATCCACTGGTAAAAGCCAGCTCCCAAAACTCAGGAATATTTAGCAAACCCACCTATATAAAAAGGAAACTGTAAAGCTGTTTCAACAGCGATATAAAAAAAACAAACAAGTGAACACCTGTAAAATTCTACTGGTTGTATTAAAGAGGGGGCCAACTACTGCCCTCTCTCGCACAGCCAATGAATTACTAATGGAATAGTTCTCACCTCTGTTCTGAGATACCGGTCCAGATCCGGTGTGACGGGTACAGGGTAGGTCTGCATGTCATTGATCTCTGGTGTGTTGCTACTCCGGACTGTGGTGGTGTCATGGTCGTTGAAATCAAAGAAGCGATAGATGATATACGGGTTGGGCTGGATACCTAGGGTAAGGAAGGAGAAGAACAGGAAAGGATAAGCTAGAGAAATGGAATATCATGAACTTGAACATGTTCGGTTGGTTCATATAATTGTCTTTAAAAAGGTTGTGTCGAAATCAAGAAATTAAAGAATATGGGAATGCCAATATAACAAATGCTAAGATACACCCCTTTCAATAATGAGTACAGTTACATACATAAAGTGAACTTATTATTGCTATTATATAGAAAGCCTTGTACAGCCTGAAATCAGACACAAATGTGATTGATGATAAATGATATGCCAATTTTTTTTAAAGCCCATCTGCACTAGTTTGGCTAGGGGGGTTAGACCTCCCTGCAAGGTCACTGACAGGTGGTTATCTCATCAAATCAGCTCTCAATTAACATAAGAAAAAGGGGATCATGGGGGACCAACAGGCACCGATTAGGCATTGTTTGCTATATAGAGGGCGCAAGTAGCTATAAGCAGTGGGGCTTTAAAACTGAAATCTCCAAAGCTCGATCACCACGAGGAGTGAAGCACATGTACTCACCTTCTCTCCTAGCCTTGACATCGCTACATCTGATGACCTTGACTGTAAGCTCATTGATGTTCTCATCTCTATCACGGGTCGGTGGTTCCTCTCCTGTCTGCTTCAGGTTGGACAAGGCTTGCTGGGTGTTCCTCTGATTAGATGCCATGTAACCTAGGGCCTTCACACGCTCCTGTATCCAAAACAAAAACATCTCATGACGTTGATCTATAAACATATGTTCTTTATGTTATTTACACTTGAATTAAAGGGATTAAAGGGGCTGTTTGGAAAAGAACTACCACAGCCATTATTTAATGTGCAATCAGCAGGGTACATGCTCCCTACGTTTATGCAGAGTTGAGTGTTTATCACTTAAATTTTGTATTCATCATAATTACTTGATGTTAAATGTGCTTGGGCTAAAACAAAGATTGTATTTGGTCCTTACCCTGAAGAGTCTCAATGCCTGGTCCATAGGTACCCTCAGTCTCACCCAGAACTCTACGGTTCCGTAGATCACATCGGTACGACCAGACTCCACACCTTGATGCATAATGGAGGGAAATAAGAAAATGTTTGAGCAAGGATATGAATAATAATAATAATATTCCGCTTTTATATAGCGCTTAATACATCTATGATGTCTCTAAGCGCATTACAGATATACTATTACCCCGGTCATTGGATTCAATGCTTGACCGTGTGCACAATCTCCACTCCCTGGGGAGTATTCCAGACAGGCGTTATTTGACGCTCAACACTGTTTGACCAATAATGCCGGTCGCATCCTACCGGGTACCCATTCAACACCTGGGTGGAGAGTAGCAAGTGCAGTGCCGTTTCGGGATTTGAACCCTCTACCTTCACATCCCTAGTCAAACCCAGGATTGTGAGTAATGACAAAATCATATTCCTTTTCCTCAACGGGCTTGATTTACATAAAGACAATCCCAGATTTTCTCGGTTTGAGACTCACCTACAAGTTGCGCTGATCCATGAATCCTTCCCTGAGGTTTGTCCAGGAGATCCCTGAACTTGAGTTGACAGGCTGCTATCGTACGGAACTCTGTCCCAATGGCTTGGTGTACCTCCAGCGTGGTGGCTCCTTTCATGAGGTGATGCAGGAAGAAGTCATCCACGGTGACACGGTACTGAGATGTGAACTTAAACACAGGTCTGGGTGCACGAAGAGAAAGGGCATTTAGAGGCATTCATTAACCAGTTTAGGGAAGGAATATTAGTACCAATATAAAATAATCATCATTCTATCACTGATAAATGTCTAACTATGAGGCGTTCAATTTAACACTTGTGCTATGGAAGTCATATGCTGTAAGCCATCAGAGTATATTAAATGAGTAATTTTAAATGTCTGATTGTGGTCCCCTATGTGTTTTTAGGGGAAAAAGATGACACGTCTCACTCTCTTTAGATCATGAGCTTTCATTTGACATGCAATGTCTATTTTAATCAATGTCTACTTTAATGCTTTGCTCAAAATACGATATATAGCATGGTTGCCAGCCCAACATTTATCGCTACAGCTCTGGAAAATACACCATTCCTTCAGGAAATCAAAACAAATTTTGTAAAAAGTCAGGATTTCTAAAATATATACAGGACAATACAACGTTAAGTGAACATTGCGTGTTTGCTGGGAAGGGCACTGTTCTAGCCACTGGCCTTGCCATTGTTCATTTAAGTAGATTTCCTTAGAAGCTATATCTCCCGCAATCACCCTTGCAAATGTCTCGTTATAAAAATAACCATATTTTGTATAACACAAAAAATATATATACAGTAGGTTTATGGTTGCACCATGTGAGAGAATAGCCCATGCACGCCAGCTATTCCCCACTCCTGATGACGGATTATCAACCTGTTCGAAAGGTCGAGCCACTCCTACTACCCATCCTCTCCAACCGGCGTTATAGTTCTCCTTAGAACTATAAGCACAAGAAAGATTACCAACAGTCTTTTTCAAGACTACCAACAGTCCTTTTCAGGACTCCCCAATCTTCTCCCTCTCTCTCACATGGTGCAACCTTAAACCTACTGTATATCTACATCACCATACAAGCCGATACTTATAAGCAGCACACAAAAATATGATGAAATTTTGTATTCATTCGATTTAATAGCAACACAGGAAGGATCAATAATCCTACTCACTTGTCTCCTTTGACCACTGGTGTAGATTGGAGCTCAAATTCAAAGAACTCATAGGTAGCAAACGTTGCCGGCTCGTTATCTCCAAGCTCTCGAAGACCTTCCTTGGAGAAGGAGATCTAAAGGGAGCAAGATGAATGAGAAAGCGTTGTTTAGAGACATCTAAAAATCAAGTCGACACGTCGCCTGACTGTCGATCACAAGGTCTGCGGTTCAAGTCCTGCCGCTGCACCAATGTCCTTTGGCAAGACATTGATCTACATTTGCCATACTCAACCCAGGTGAGGTAAATGGGTACCTGGCAGGAATTAATTCCTTAAAATGCTGGAGCGCTGTAATGGCAGCTAGGCTAAAGCCGGGGTAATAATAAATGCGCCTCGAGATAGAATTTCTAGATAGACGGCGATATAGAAATGCCTATTTTTATTATTATGCTCATCGATCAATCTATGAATAACAACAAGAAAATATGAAACTGTGCACCAGCTGATGACTGCAGAAAAACTCAAATAAGGAGGACCTGGTTTTTGGTTGGTGGAAACAATGTATAGGATGATGGGCACACTAGGATGATTCATCTACCTATATACATCCGTCTGAAGCAGCTGCATTTTAATGTAGACAAGTTCTTGTATAGAATTTGAACAGGTTACAGCATCATGCAACTCCAGGTGTTACCTACATAGATTTAAACAAATATTGCCTTAATTGACATATTTTCTATATAATGCTGAAGCATGACAGACAGGCTATCAATTAAAATGTTGAGCTCATTTACGAAATTTGATGCTGTTGTAAGCAAAGGCATTTAACTACCCCAAAATACTTAACTATCAACGGGCCACCATGATGCCATGATGATAGCGCTACACCCTTCTATTAAAATCAAAACTTAACTCTGCATACGAGAAGAATCACTCACTTTTTCTATATGTATCTCCATGAGATTCTGACCTCTCTCGAGCTTGATACTCTCATCAACCTCCTCATAATCACCTTCATCCTATGCATGGCCAGAAAGAAAAAAAGATGTACGAAATGAGAGAGATGAAAATGCAGAATTTTGATTTAAAAAAAAAGAAATTTGGACAAAGAGCGAGGGAAGACAGAGATTAGAAAATGCTAAACATGTGTAAATAGTCAAACAGAAGAAGTAAAAGAGCAACACAAAATAAAAAGACATACTTTATGTTGAAATATTCCAGAACTAAAAAGATAAGCATACATTTCTTTACATAATCCATAACATGAGCATTTATCAAAATAAATGTAATTGTTTGAAAGTACTAATTTTAACATGTATTTTGCACATTTCATTTTTGTTATCTTAAAATAAATGAAGCTGCGATCGCTAAGAAGAGAATAAAACAAAATAAATTGAAAATAAAGACAGGAAGACCATTAATCTTTCAAAACATGTTTTTCAATTTTCTTCTAGAGTTATCATACATAGCTTTAAAAGATAATATAGATTCAGAAGCTTGTAGATAAATGTTAACTCACTGGAGCAATATCAGCCATCTTGAATTGTTTAGTTCCGTAAGCTACGTCCTTCATCTGTCTCTCCAGTTTCTGTATGAAAAAAAAAAACACCCAAGAAATAATGATATGAAGTATTGGAGATATTTCTAGATTCTCAACCCAGTTTTAAAAAGAATACATAAATATCCACTTTGTTAATGAGACAAGTACCATTAAGATTCTTTTACCGAACCTAATTACATGTTTGTACATTTTACAAGAATCTGATCAAATTGTTCAATATGTGAGTAATGCAATATTATGAATATGATTATTATATTACAATTACGATTATTAAAGAGTCTTTTTAGCGTCTGACCTTAATTCTAGCTGCCCTTATATCGAGGAGCTGAGCATACTCATCGAGCTTGGTCTCATACTCCTGCTTGTAATCCTCCAATCTCCTGGTGGAGCTATCCACCTCCTGCTTGTAATCTCTGTTGATCTTATTCTGAAGCAGGAGCATGTTGCGTGTCTTCTCCAGCTCATTGACTGTGTCTGCATGCTCCGCCTGCAGCCCACCCATCTGGATCTTCATGTCTAATAGAATAATCAAGTAAGGAAGGACAAAAATATATAATCTATTTCTGCTTTCATCACTAAATGCAGAAACGCAACTTATAAGATATTTGTCTGAGGTTACAATTTAGAGAAAATTCTACAACTCTAATGAAGGTTTGCTATTTCATTAGACAGTGTCCATGTAGTTGCACAATGGCAGTCATAATTTTGTACCAGTATATTATTGGTCATGTGGCCTGGGGGGTGTTTCATAATGAGTTCGTAAAGTTACGCATGACTTTACGAATGACTTGTATATGAAGTGCCAGAAAGGATGCCCAAAGTTTATTTCAGATATTTCATATAACCTCAATTAAATATGGCAAAAAATATACTTTGCATTATAAATGGTTGTTATAATAAGAATGTTAATCTACATCTGCACAGTTCAACTTAATAAATGATAATCAATATTGATTGAGCATCCCATTTGGCTTTTCATATACAAGTTGTTCGTAAAGTCATCCGTAACTTTACGAACAGCTTTATGAAACACCCCCCAGATTAACAAAGATTGAGTCTATGCAACATTCAGAATGGATTATCAGATTGGCTTTCAAGATATCTGCCTACTACTCATTACTATCCATAATGAAAATGGTGCAAGGCTAGGTCAGCTTATAAAGAAAGTTAAAATGAAAGTATGCTTGCATATATGATAACGTCACTGCCAGAAAAATTTCAAACCTTTTTGATTCAGGTTTAACCCCTTTTATGCATTGTAAAAGGCTACTAATACTTTCAAACGAACAATAAGATGTAACACAGCACTCACCTCGATTGATTTCATCATCCACCTTCTCTAAGAAGTCCAGATCCTGTGTACCCCTCTCTTTTCTTTTCTGTAAGAGAAAATAAACACCCTGAGTGAGTGTTCTATATCCTTATAGGTAACACTCAAAACAATTTTCTTTTTCAATGGAAATATTGCAAAATATTCACCCCCCCCCCAAAGGAAAAGGAGACTATGAGGACTTGTGAGGGTAGCATTTAATTGCCTAATACTATAACCCAAGTTGCATGGGAAGATTAGTGTGCTCTATAAGGTTTTACCATATCTATCTATCTATATGATGAAAAGGCATGATGAAAAAATATATACGATTCAAATGCAAATCCATACAGTTTGCTTAATAGTACCCCACTAACTACTGAATTCTCTCATTCCCATAGGCTTAATACACCGGACAGTTGATTCCCATAGGTTAGGGTTTAAAACAATGACAAGTTTTCATAAAAGCCTCTTTAAAGGCCGGCTGTACTAGTTTGGCCGGAAGGGATTAGACCACACAGCCTGGTCAATGACAGGTGGCTATCTTATCAACTCAAATCTCAATTAATATAAGAAAAAGAGGATCATGGGGGACCAATGGTCACTGGTTAGGCATTGAGGGAGCAAGTAGCTACAAGTAGGACAGTGGGGCTTTGAACTGTACCTTGACAAGTATAAGTGCCTCCTCCATCTCATTCCAATCAACAGCACTCTCTTTGGTGAAAAACTTCATCTTCTCTTGCAATTCTTCGAGCTGCTTCCTGACGGCATAGTACTTCACCTGCATATCACGATTCTCTTTCTGTAGCTTCTCATACTCCTCTATATAAACATACCAACAAAACACCTCATAAACATATAAACAACCATATAAAGAAACAAGAGAACTAAAAGAAAATTAATACAAGTTCAAATTAGATAATAATAATAAAAATAATATTGGATATTTACATAGCGCACATATCCACCGTGCAAGGTGCTCAAAGCTCTCCAATATTACCCGGCTCTGCTAGGCTACCACTTTCGGTGCTCACAGCATTCAAGGAATTCCTTCCTGCGGTACCCATTTACTTCACCTGGGTGGAGTGTGGCAAATGTAGATCAATGTCTTGCTAAAGGACATGACTTTGTATCAATGTATGCCAACCTAACATGATTTTGAAGATACTGCTGTAAAACTGTATGCATGAATAAATACACAACTCTAAACATGAGGCCTCTATCACTGGCAAAGAGATGTAAGCTGGTCAAAGTCACTTCTCTAGTCTTCCTGTACATTATACCTTGGTTTTGAACAGTTTGTATCTTTTGGATAGTAATCTTCAACAGTTTCTATACATTGGTATTCTGTTGGTGCTCTTTACAATCAATTCTGAGGAGTTTGAATTTGTGAGGGTATCCTATTAACATGAGCGTGGCAGAATGCTTTTCAAGAATTCTCCACTAGAGGTAGAAAATATTGCTATTCTTTCTCCTACGGACAGCTTTTGTATTCAGTCGCGTACCTCTTTCTTCATTGAGTTTATCCAGAAGTGTGTTCTTATCATTGAGATCTCCTTTGAGAGTGGCCTCAAGTTGAGCAATCTGAAGTTTGAGTTGCTTCTCATTGGCACGATACTGACGTTCCCTCTCAGCATCAAAGGCACTGCACGAAAAACAAAATGCGTACAGGAATTAGGATATCTTTTAGGACCTGTTTCACAAAACTTGTCATCCGTGACAAATGACAGTTTATGTTATAAGCTACTCAAATCCTTGCTTCTGATTGGTTATCAGCAGATTTGACACTGATTTTTGTCATTTGTCATTGAAAAAAGGCTTTGTGAAACACCCCCCTTAACACATGATACTCTCTCACTACCTCACTAAATATTCATTAAACGAACCAATTTATTACACAATAATTTATCAAGAATGATTGTATGAAAACTCTTTTCTTGAAATGATTTCAGAAGATCCCAATTAGGAAAATGCATTCATGCACTACATTAAACAAAAATGATGAAATAAAAGAAGAAAATCTACTCAATAAAATATTGAATACCCTTTCTTCAGTGTACTTTTAATTTGAAATCATTTAATTCTCATAATATACTGACATCACAAAACCCAAACAATATTCATTGATACTTGTGCAGATGTAGACATCTTGCTGCAGCTTTTAACTGACAAAATATTAAGATCCACGATAGCAATGATTCTCAATTATCGAAAAAATAAAGTAATTTCCAGAATGTCGAGTAAGGTTAATCCATTACCGTCCAACCCACACAGTGAAGAGATACACACCCAACATGAGGTAGTCACAAATCTATAACTCACCTGTTCAGTAATTTTTCATTAGCCTCTCTCAAAATATCTTTTTCATTTTCAGTGTCTGTAATTCTCTCCTGCAGCTGTATCAAAGAAACAGAGAGAAGGCGACAATAGAAATGTGTCCACATGTCAGATTTTATACATAAACTAAACAGATACAAGTTTCTTGGAAGTAATTCATGTATCTTTAAAAGACATTCTTTTAGTGAAACATTATTAACAACACAGAATTAAGATGGCAAGATGCAGATTGAGTAGTAATAAGTTTGACAAACTTTGTTCATATTACAGGTATTAGAATTTCATGATACTCCTTCTATTATGTTTTCCTTTGCATCCATTGATTAAAAACTTACATTTGTACTCATGCAAACTTATATTTATGTATATGAAACAATATCAAGGTATTCAATAATTAATCATCATTATAACATTACTATGACAATGAAGGATGAAAAGCCATATACCCGAAGAAATTAATAATAACTATAATAATCTGGATTTATAAAGCACTCAATAGGAAATACCGTCTCTAAGCGCTTTACAGATATCATTAACCCGGTCATCATTAATGCCTTGTCAAAGGACATTAGTGCCATGTCGGGAGTGGACCTTTGTAATTTCAAGTCAAGTGCTGAAATCACTCGACAACGACACCTCTATTAAGTTAATGACCCGATCGACTTACCTCTGATATATTTCTCTGTAAATTTGAGCCTTGTTTGAGTTCCGTCTGTAGTGTGAGTGACTTTGCTTGTGACTGGTGTAGCTTTCTATTCAAGTCTTCCATCTCAGCAATAACAGCATCATGACTGGTCTTCACTGTGTGAAGATTCTAGTACACACAAAACAAACCAATTCAATCCAGGGTTTTTCAAAGAGTGCCAATTAATATCTATTTGCCTAATCAAAGCAAGACTTGGCACCTTATTTCTTCTTCCATATCGATGTATGGGAAGTCTTAACTATATTTTTCTCTTTCCTTTCACCTGTCTTTCATATCAAGAACAAAGACTATCGTTATCATCAGGATGTTTATCTTTGTTTCCCTATGTTTAGCTGTGGGTTCATTATCACTTTTTGATGGGAACTTTTTTGCACGGTAAACGTGGTAGGAAAGAATGATGCCCAGTCACGTAGTATAATTTGATCAATTGGATTGCCTACATTCTTGAAACCATTTTTATAATATCAATTGCTTGTTTTGGTATAAAGACTTTGATAGGATACTCATACATGTAAAAAATAATTTTTCTAATCCAAATATAAAAGTTTCTAGAAAAGCCAGGTGCTTGGATGTATTACAGCAATGCTGTAGATAAGTTTCCACTCCCTGAGGGTATTCAATACAAACTGGTATAGTTTTTCAAACACCAGAACTAACTAATCTAAGTGTGTAATCATTTACCTCCTGTAAGGTTGCATACTGGGCCTCAAGGGCAGCTAACTTCTGAGATTTCTCTTTCACCTCCCTCTGTAGTTTGATCATATCCACATTCTCCTGTATATTACTCCTATAATACAACAATCAAATCAAATCAAATCAAATCAAACAAAGTAAATCAGCATGAGACAGGATACACAACATAATACAAGGTAGGACAAAAGGTCAACAGTATTAACCCTGTCATCACAAGACTACTGATGCCTCTTTCTTCGATAGCATAGTTATTCTGTTTCATGTTTATTGCTTAGATTTTCACTACTTTGGCCTAAAAGGAAATTTAGCTTATCTGAAATATGCTTTGGGATTAAATGAGTTCTCATTGACATCAGAAAAGATTACTATTATTTTTTAACATATTGATGACTTCTAGATGTATCACTTACATCAGTGGACTATTATTGAAAGTTGGTGATGCCATAATAAAATGTTATTAAACATCCAAAGTACTGTGTCACCCTAAAATATAATCTAAATTTACTGGCACTTTGTTATATTTTCATAGTGATTGTAGTGAAGAACTCTGGGTGTTATATATTCTTAAATGAACATGTGGTCTGTATGCACTCCTGCAAGAGCTCATATGCATAATCCCATTTACAAATGTTTAACCTCTGGTCAACTGGAGTCCACTTTTACCCAGCTACATTCATGCTTTCATCATGGCAAACCACCTTAAAAAACTAATCGAACCATGCATGTAAATGAATTCAGAGGGGAGATGAAAAATTGCTGCATGCAAAAAAACCCCAAATGTGTGGCTTGTTATTTCTGTTTCAGTGTATGTTATTTCACTTTGCCACAGCAGAATTTTATTGAGCTAGTTTACCGTTTCATGTGTGTATAATGAGAAAAAGTTCATAGTTTGAGACCATGATCAAATTTTGGGAGAGCTAATCATACATTCAAATCATGCTTTATCATGCTGAATAGAAATCATGATCTAGGGAATCAGCATGCGAGAGGAACACATAAGGTGAGAAAAAAAAAATCTGTGCAGGTTTTAAATAAGATGTGAGAGTACCAATTGTAAGTGCAGTTAGATTTCTTTTTTCATTTTTTTAAAAAGTAATAGGTCACATCAAAAGATCAAATAGTCCATTAGATTACTTGAAGGTACAGTTTGTTTCATTATTTGATTACCATAAACCCTACAAACAAATCATAAGGGACTCCTGCAAAAATCTCTCGAGTCATTAATCCAAGTTACAGAGTAAAATTATCTTAATTCTCAATATTCTGAGTGGAAAGTGATTTTTATAGCGAGGGACAACTTATTAGTGTTTCCTCTGCTGCTAACAATCCTAAATCTTTAAACAGAATCGTTTTCACATTTCAATCAACTTCAAATCACACTTAAAACACCTTTTAGCTTTTGCTAATGATATGCATTTAATCTAGATTCATAAACAGTCATGTAACTCTGGGTTATGTACTCTGTATGGTTTAATTGCCAGTGCCCTGTGACGTGTATGCCTGCATATCTGGCAGCAAGAAATAGTGGAGCATCTAAATGTTCATAGATGCAAGCATCATACAAAATTTAAGAAGAAACAAATAACCAAACAAAACAAAAGAAAATTTAATAAAAAGAAAAGAAAGCAACAAATAAAAAATAATTAATGCCAAGCAAAGTCAGTAATAAAAAAAAGAAGAGAAGAATTTAGAATGAAAAAAAAAAGAAAAACCCAAGACCCTATCTCATGAAGAATTACGACTGTGCAACTCAAGTTTGATATCAATCATAAATATGTACATAAATGAAAGACAGCACTAACTTTTTGAATTTATTGAATATTAGCATTCAGTGCTTGTGTATATGGGTAATTGGAATTTAGTGTTAGTAACATGCATACTAGAATGTAATGGAAGATCATAATGATGTGCAGTGTGGATAAAAAAAAATGGTACATGGAACATAGGAATAATACTCACTTTGCTGTATGCCTGCAGACACATCCAATGCAGAAGATAATGACAGAATGTGAAAGAGGAGTTGAAGTTTGAAATGGCATGGATAGAAAGAATGGAGAGAGAATCTAGGGAATATATATACAAGTATTCAAACTAATCTCTACATCTACAATGATTATTTGACAAGATACAAGAAATCACATGTACATGAATAAGATACAGATGTAAAGAAAAGGAATTTGCAGTTTGCAGAAATCCAACTGCTACTAAACTATTGAATCACAATATATACAAGTTGATATTCAAGAATTGCTTGGAAAGCATACATCAAACTTCAGAAACAATCCTAAGATCGAATGAAAGATTTTTTAGTCCAACAAAAATAAAAGGATTAATGTTATATATGAAAAATGCTGAATTTAAAAAAAAATAATTTTCACAACATGATGTTGCTTGGTTTGAAAGAATACTCAGAATAGCAAAGATTTTTTTCTGGTTTGGGAATAGGGATAAAATTATGAGTCAAGTTATTAGAAATTATGTGTATGACAAACAGTCTCATAAATTTGATGGTGAAACAAACCTTGGAAATAGCAATTCATCATGGTACACATTATTAGACTTACTGTTTATAGTCATTATATATAATGAAAAGTACAACCATCAAAATATATGTATGTGTTTGATACATGGCCATTCGTTCACTTATTATTATGATTTTTAATACATTTTTCACATCTATCTCCCTAAAAAAATGAATTTAAACAACTGCTAGAGCATGCAATGATAGTTGTGACATATATATTTTTGATTAATTTTTCTACACATATTCAAAAGTTATGACATTCTGATCTGTTCACAAGTTATGGCAAAATCTATTCTACAAAAATGCTTAAATTTTGAAGAGAAGGATATTTCTCCTTCAATTGCCTGGAGATATTATATTCATATGCACAATTTACTGAGTGCTCGTATTCTTGGCATTTTGGAGTGGAGCATAAAGTATAGGCCAGCTGAATGAAACTGCCACAAATTATGACAAGAAGACCAAGCCCAAGACGAAAAGGCGCAACAAATTAAAAAGGCTGTATACTCACTGCTGATTGTAATATGATCAAGTTTTTACAAAAGAAATATACATGTATATACACTTATCAATTCAAATAAAACACCCTCATTATGAAATAAATTCTCCTCAGTCACAGGTGTACATGTATCTTCAAACACATCTATACAAAAACAAAACGACAGCATGGTATATTTATCTGACCTTTGACCTGCTGACATCTGTTCCTTCAGTCTAAGAAGAACTTCTTCATGGTCAAGCTCCTTGATGCGAATCTATCACAAAAAGATAATATTGAAACGAATGACTATCCCAGAATTGCTTATGGTGAATTTAATCAGAATGATGACAAAATCAGGTAATTACAACTTTTCATAAGTCTAATTAAACACAAAATTTCACATTTTGATGCTAAATAAAAGAAATAAGAAATCCTAAACAACCTAAATTTATATTTCATGATAACTTCCTTAACTTCTCAAACTTAAATGTAGTCTGTAAACTTATTTTATTACGAACGTATTTCATTACTTGTATAATTTATTTGCTCTATTATATATTGTTATACTAATTTGAGTGGAAAAATAAATCAAATCAAATCAAATCAATTCAAATCAACATATACAGTAACACATTGGTGAAAAGTCAGGAAAGTTAGGGAACTGTTTCATCAAGGTCTACTCTTCTTATTTTGTATACAAAATGTATTAAATTCTCTATCTTCTCAAAAGAAACATTTCACATTCGCCTGAACTCAAATATTTGCCTTAATGTCCCTGAATGTCTGTTGCACCATGATAGTTTAGAATTTTGGTGCTTCATCACTCAGAGAAAAATATAACTTAGGTTAGGCTTCCTCTTAAGGTTTAATAGATATGACTGTTTTTTAAATAGAAAAATACCATGTTCATGACATTATTTCATCCAAACATCAAATTAGTCTATATTTCTATAAACCACTGCATCCCATCTCAATGAATGATAATGTAGAGCATTTAAAGATCGACTTTTCCTTTGACCACTAATTATACAAATAATTTAAAACTCCTTTGGTACCAATAGGTTTACACAAAACTTTGTGTTTATGAGCTTTCTAGGGCCAGACAGTATTTTGTTTCAATGTAAATTTGGGTATGAAATATCATTCAATACAACAAGTATCACAATAAATAATAATCACTGTTTATCAGGCCATTAATACATGTAGTAAAATTTACTGCTCGACCTCAAAATATTTTGGGAACATTAAAAGGGTGATCAATGCTTATTTACACAAATATCTCACCTGTTCCATTAGTATTTCTTTCTCTTGATCTAAGATTTGACAGTTTTCATGCAAGTTATCAATCTCCTCATTCCTGATGGAAAAATCAAACAACATCAAGGTTAGTTTCACAACAATTTCATGAAGGCTGCTTGGGCTTCTGTCTGGAAAATATGACCGTCGTGCTTTTATCCTTTTGCTTTAAATATGGCTTTGGAAACCCTCATATAAAAAATGTTGAGTTTCAATGTTTTTCCTCAGTTAACATACATCATCATTCAGTATGATAATAAGAAATCAATATAGTTCACTTTAATTCTTACATATATTTTTACTTTGTATAAAAAAAAAAGGAAACTCCAGAGGACAATATAGAGTTGTTACTACGATGCAATCATTCTACATATATTCCTTTTCACTCAACAAGTTTATTGATGACTGGATATCATCATTTGTAGCAGTACACACGGATTTAGCAGTTTAGTGTGGGGAATTGAATTAGACATAATGATTAATACAATGTTTTGTTGTTTTTACATCTAATCAGCATTATTATGCTAAAAGGAGCTATAACTGTGTAGTGTCGGTACATTTTCATCAAATGTTGCATGAATGATGTTAGCAAAAGAGCAAAAGAGCAAAAAAAAAAAAAAAAAAAAAAAATTAAATTCATTTTTTTGTCTTAAACATAGGGGTGCGTCCTATAAACAGGTGCGCCTTATACACAGAGATTTACGGTACTCACAGCCTTTCGTTTTCAGCTCTTGCTTCCTCTAGAAGACTGTGACCATATCTAGGTAGAACATCATTACGTATTGATCTGGGAGTTGCTGACCTACACATTAGAACATGAAAAAAAGAGTCGCAAAGAGGAAGGGAGAGAGGTGTAAATGTAAGATACAATGTACTCATCTGATGATGTAAATAATTTTAATGCTTTTACATACATACCATAAGTGATCCTAATTTTGCAGACAATGAAACAGAATGAATTGTACCTACCCTGCTCTGTTTCCCTGCACTCTTAGATTTCTTTGTACACCATCCCCAGGAGGCTTGGGCATACCCTGTAAAGAAAAACACAATATTAGTATATTCATACTGATTAGTATATTTATACTGATTAGCATATTCATACTGATTACGATTAAATGCAAAAAAGATCATATCAAATTGTAAATTAATTAAATTTGGTACATGTATCTCTAATTACAGAATATGTATGTGTCGAATGGATTGGGGCAGGTAAATTTTGAAACATACAATGCTCAAGCTGAAGAAGACATGATATTCATTCTAATACATAATGCTGCAAATGTGAGTTGAACAGATTTGTTGACATTTTTTTCAAGCAGATGGATTTTGAGACACTGAAATCGGGATTAAGACGTAAATAAATGAATGAGAGCAACTTACTGTGTTTATCCTTGACTGGACATGGTTGTATGGTGTTCTTCTTTGGCTTTGTGTAGCAAGTTGCTGCTTTGCAACCATGAGCTGTTGAGGATAAAGAAATATAAAATCAATTGCAGATATTCAAAATGACCTACCTATACAGACAGAGATTTTCCAAAGAAGTCAACCAAACATGAGAGAAACGAGACAGATCATCTTTAATGATTTATTACTTCATGTCATAAGAAAATACTTTGATTTTCACCGGTACTCTTTGTACATCAGAGATACTGAACAAACAGCACTAACTGGTTTGCATAGAATGATAGAATCACTCACTTTCTTCTTGTAGGCTTCACAGTGTTTCTCTACGTCTCTGATTCGTTGTTGCTGTTCTTGAATCAACTCGTCTGTCTCAATATCTCTTCCTCCTTTCCTCCTTGCTCCCGTTCCTCCTGCCCCTGTTTCACCATCTTTCTTCTTGTTATCTTGGACCAAGCGTAGAAGCTTGGTGGCCATTCTGAGTAGGAAGGAAGGAATATTCAGGCATTTTCATTAAAGTTGTTTTTTGGCGGAATACATGTATTTGGGTTTAGCTACAACAAAATGACATTTGTTTATTCTATGCACCTTATCTCTCTGAAAACCTCACTAATATATATACAGGTTTTTCCGGAACTAAGCATTGCCTTAATAATGCATTCATTTAACTTAATAACAAAAGTAAAATTCATAATACCTACATTATAAGTGGGTTTCCCTAAAACTCTGACTGACCAATCAACTTCTATCAGGGCTGACTAACCCTTTACGAAGATTGTTATTCCTGGGTCATTTCTTGTATATAATTTACTTGGTTTTAAGGTAAAAGGAAATAATCAACCATTCACTTCATCATCATAACTCAGATTAACTCTTACTTCTTGATCTTCTCCTCCTGTTTCCTAGCGTGTCTCTTAAGGATGAGGTTTTCATCGTGAAGTCTTAGATATTGGTCCTCTAGCTCCTCACGGCTTATCTTAGCAACAGCTCTCCTTTGCTGGGATCTTTTCTGCTCACTCACTGAAAATAGAGTATGCTTCTCATCAGAGTACTAGCTGCATAATATACATTTCACACAAGCCCGAAATTGATTTTTGGTGGAAAATATTGATCAGCTACTTAAAATCTGCTAAAACATTCCATTCATTACATGGTTATTGTACACAAATTACCGTTATTTCCATACAGTTAACTCAAAGTAGTAACATATATGTCTTGCTACAATTCTAAAATTAAATGTTTCCTCAGGAAATCAACCTACTCAAGAAAACATTCATTTAACTATTAACTTTTAAGGACTTACAATGCATTGTGATAAGACCTTTAATTACAGGACTAATGCATGAGGTAGAGAAATACAGTACCTTTGTCATCATAAGCACTCCTGCCTGCTCCTGTATCTCTCACTGGATAATCATCCACACTGTCCGAATCCATTGTGAAACTACTGGCTGGCCAAGGGAACACTAGCTTGCAATCAATGTCTCATTTTACACCAGTCTGCAAGAGGCTTACTGCATGCTACAAAATAATGTAAAAAGAAAGAGTATTTTTGTGTTATTGAGGGCTTTGTAAGCAATCGTAATTTGTATACTTAACTTTTCATTGTTTTGTTCCTTTACATAATTCATTGAAACCAATCAAAACCAAATTGTGCCTGCCCAGAGCTGCCACACTAAAGTAATCAACAAACAATGATTGATGTTAAAAGAAAATTAAGATGTACAAAAAAGAAGAAAGAGGATTTTTTTTTAACGGCCTTATAATGTGGGAAAAATTCAACACAGAAACTGACAGAGTACACATAAGATTGTGTTTTTTAGGGGAAATATGCAGGATCATATGATTTTTTTTTTTAAATCATCATCATCATCATCTATACGGGAGTGTAGGATATCCAGTAGGTCTTCCGTTCAGATCACTTGGTACATTAATACAGGTCTATAAATCAAAAAACTTAGGAACTTAGTCTTAGACCTTAGGCTTTCAACAAAAACTAAATTAGAGTCTAGAACTCTAGATGACTGTTTTAAAGTCAGAGTAAAATTGGCAACATGAAAACAGATTTTTTTTTTTTTTTTTTTATTTGTTGTTGGCAATTTTCCGTAATTCTGACCAGGATCAACACACACAATGACACTTAGGAATCATCGCCAGAAGCTGGTCGACAATCTCCACCACAGGGGCGTACAGCAGTCAATATAGAGCAGTCGCTCTATTCAGTCCAGATGACCTTGAGACCTTCACGCGGGCAGTCCTACTTCCGAATGTTCCAACTGTCTGCCCTAACCAAAAGAACCTTCTTATTAATGCATCACTGTCATTTTTATACAATATCCACTCTGCTCGTGCTAATGCAATCGCTAATACATTTTCTACCTGACTTGACAATCCTGCCTGCTATGACAAACTGCAGTACCCTGGTAGCTGCTGATCTCCGATAGAGCGGAGGAAGAAGAAGAAGAAGGAGGTCAACGTTTTTATAATGAAAATCACACGTTAGTGTGAGGGTTGTTTCATGATAGTGAGCATTAATTATTATTTTTTTGGCTCGATGGGGGGATGGAAGGGGGGGTGTATGGAGCTCATTTTTTTCACTCTACAACAACCCCCCTCCGTTTTGTTGTTGCCAGATTCAGATTGATGTCTTCGTTTCAAGTTTTTAGGAAAATACTCCAAAAAAGATAAGAAAATTGACACGAAAGGGTCGCAGCTCCGAATCAGTTTGCATGCCAAAGCTAATGCCTTTAGTAATGGCCATGATGGCAAAGACTAGGCAATTATTTATTAATCGTGTTAATAAAAATCGATCATCCCATAAAAATTATTAAAATTACTAACCACAAGTTGAATGCATGGGACTGTGCTGGTTTCTTCAGTTTTTAGTTTCTACAGATAGTCTAGATCTATGCAATACTGCCATGCTGGCGTAGATCTACACTTTAATTGAAAACATCTTACGTGTAAAACTAGATTAGTGAATAAAAATCATCTGGATTGATCATACAGGAAACACAAAAGAATTCTAATTACTTACAAGTTCGAGTATTTATGCAAAATTATGGGCGTCCTCAGCGACAATGTTGTTATGGCTTTTGAAATATTTCAACTCTGCGCATGCGCAGTTTAAAAATTTCCCACCTGACCATTTTGAGTCACATGATGATACGATGAGACCAAATTTTAGAATTAGACGAGCCTAACCTGTATTGACTTGAAAAAATTGGTCTAGGTTATGCCATAAAAGCAGCTCCATTCTGATTCTCGCACTATTAATTAGCCATAGCCAATTAGCTTCACCCGCGGCCGCCGCCTTCAAGCTTCATAGAGTGAAAGAGGTTTTGGGGGCAATTAGTTCAGTTCTGACCTTTGTTTTGTCAACGTCAGTAGATCTACTCGGAATCGGAGTCGGTGACGCCGTGACTGCACTGCACTGCGGCTGGTGTACTCTGGAGCTAGTGGCTGGGCGGAGTGGGCGTGCGCGTGGGCCGTGGACGACTCGGCTCTGCATCTGACGAGATCGAGACTGAATTCTGACACTGACACATGATCAGGATGATGACAGGTTTGCTGAATAAGTTTTACTAATGCATAATAGTAGAGTCCCTAATAAAATGTGCTAAGAAACATTGCAAGTTCAACTTCAAAGTTCAATGTCTTTTTTCTCTGTGTCTATTTTATTTATGATGGCATTATTCATTACCAAAAGAGTTGATTATTGATATCATGGATCACTAGAATTGCTCAACAATAAAAAATATATGGATCGAATGTCTGCAGAAAAGTCTAGTGCCGTGGGCCGAGGCCAGGTTGTTATAATGAAGTTCTGAAGATTGTTGAAATGCTTTACTTTAGAAATCTATCATTTAATGTCCAATGAATGTGAAATCTATGAAAATTAATTTTGAGATCTAGAGTAAAGGAGCCGGTAATCGGCCAGCTCCAGTTTTCGGCCGATTGGTTGGATGCAAGGTAAAATAACTCTAAAATACATTGCATAATAGCCTAACACATATCCCACACATACCATACCATGCCAGTGTCACTGAAGAACCACATTTGCAATGGAAAATATATCCTAAAATATCACATTTTAGCGATGTAATCGGTGGTCCCGCTACCCAAATCTGAAAAATTGAGTATCTTACGCGTGTCTGTAAGAAATATGGGTACCATAAAATGAGCTTTATTTCAAGTATTTTTCAGATTTAGAGCACGATTTTGTGCTAGTCGCAAGCTCAAAAGTATCTCATCGCATGTATTAAGTCAATGCAGCCGCACACCGCGACGCACACACGATATCTCTGTCTAATTCAGATTCCAACTTCCGATCACCGCTCTGCCTGTCTTCGGCCAGGCGAGCACCAGCGAGCTCCGGCGTGGGATACCTGCTCCGCCCGCTTGTGCTGTACATCAGCGCGGAAATGCACGGCGCGCGCGAGCGCTTCCTATTGACTTTGTACATGCGGCCGTAAACTGAAACGCTCGGCCGATAACTGGCTCCAAAACAGTGAAAATTGAAATGAATATTGTCATGGCAATTCGTGATTTTTTTCTGGGATTCTTTTTTTGTTTAAATAATAATAATATTTGCTTCATGATTTGAACAAGAAATGATAATAAATAGGAAGTAAAGAGTCCTAAAAATAGGATTTTGTCTTAAGTGGCCGAAAACGGGCTCCTTTACTCTATTGACCTTTGTTTATTATTTAAACTGGATAAAGTCTGTTTGAAATTTGATTTATAAAAAACACAAACAAGCAAATCCTTGAAGTCGATAGACACTGACACGATCCATTAAAAATGTGTTGATGATAACTGGCAACTTTAATATTTTGTTCTGTTTTGACGGGCTAAAACTTGTAATCTAATATGAGTTTGTATCCCCTTCATATTTGTGAGATCTCATGTGACTCATGTCTGTTTTCTTCACAATATGGCCACAAATAAGTGTTTCGGCAACCAATCATGGCCATATGTTAAAATTTTGTTATGTTTATGTTGAATTGTCTGACTTACCCTTTATGATTGTGTGATGTCTGCAATAAAACAGGTTTTCAATCATTGATCATTAACTTTAATATAACTTATTTTATGTTGTATTTTATACCAAACAATACAAATTTTCATCCTGACTGCCCCCCCCCCCCCCCTTGCGCCTAATCTTACCTCCTTAAAAAATTATAATCTTATTTTTTTCAAGGTTCTGTTAAAGTTGAATTAAGAGAAGGGGTGAAACATGTAATAATCTGATTTATTATCATTATGGAAAACTGTTTGTGTATATATTATGATGATGAAGGAGAATAAAATGAACTCATAACTTACACTTTTTCTGTCATGGTCTTAGCTCTGGGATATTATCTAGCACCTTATTTTTAAACATACATATTGGTAAAGGAATAAATGTACATGTACATGTAGTCTCTTTGGCTTTTGTAACAGGAGCTGGATTTATACAATGATTCCAATAGGTATAACAAGAATAATATATACAAGAACAATGAGAAAGATAAAAATATAATAAAAAGATAATAATATTTATTTTACGGGGGCTACTTTTCAAGCTTGCCTACATAAAAATAACACTCTAAAATATGTTTTGCATGGAACTCTATGCAAATTTACAGGGGCTCTTTTCTGATTTTCAGGGGCTCTTTTGGGCATTTCGGGGGCAAATTCGCCCTGAGCCCCCGTGTATTTTTTTCACTGAAAGATATTTTCACCCTTCCCCCCCCCCCCACCCTAAACGATTAATCACAATCTTTGTATAAATTATTTTCACAAGTTGAAGTGAAGATTAGAAACAAAATTTTGTCTGTGATTTACTTCACATAGGTAACACAGTTCCTGTGTTGTTGGTTCTCCTGTCTTTGTGGTCTTCTGCTGTTCTTGGAGCCCAGAAAGCAGATTTGATCACTAACCTACCTGGTCTAGCCAAACAGCCTAGCTTCAACCAGTACTCTGGCTACCTCAGCGGCACTGCCAATCATATGCTGCACTACTGGTAGGAAGCATTTTAAATTGAGTATCAAGATCTTTGTCAGAATGAAAATTAACCTCTTCATATATGCCAGATTATCACCATGTAAAGTTTTGTCTTAAATTAAAATTAAAAATGAATTTTTAAGAGTAAATTTGATATCTGAATTTTCAAGAGTAAATTTGACATCTGAATGTAATTTACTTACCATATTGATAATTTGGTGTAAATATATAGATTTCACAAGGAACTTACCTGTTAAGTTTCAGGAAGACAAACATAAACTTTTCAAGTCCAAACACAGCCTTCAAAACAATGTTAAAGTTCAACACTCAAAGTCTTGGGAGAAATTTTCATCTCCTGGCATGGAAAAAGTTAACCAAACGAATGAGCTTCCATTTTTAAATTATAAATCTCATGAAGCTGTAAATAATTAATTCTTGAAACTAATTGAGTACATCCTTGGTCAATGTGAAAACTTTCTGGAAACTAAGTCATCAGTTATCAAAATTTGTAAAAGCTAATTAATTTCTTTCAGAGCACTATAGAAGATAAATTTCCACTCATTTGATGATATTTGCAATCACTCTGGGTTTAATCTTAAATCTATGGCTTACACCATTTAGAAAAATAATCATCAATTCACAATTTCCTTCTTATGATCAGGTATGTGGAGTCTGAAAACAGCCCTACCAAAGATCCTCTGATTGTATGGTTAGGCGATGGACCAGGATGTAGCGCCCTCTATAGCATATTGGCAGGGAATGGTCCGTACCTCGTCAAAGAAAATGGATACGACCTGGATTACAATGACAACAGCTGGAATAAGGTGATTATCATTTCAATCCTGTTACTCTCATTCACAGACAAAAGGCAAAGTCAGCCCTTGGTCAATTCATTGCAGAAGTAGATATATTTATGAATTCGGCCAAAAGAGAAGAAGAAGATATTCAAAGTAACACAATTTTTGGTTTGATATTTTTAATTTTTTACTTTTTTATATATTTTTTGCTAAAAAAGCATGTGTATGCTTGTAAGTAAGTAACCAGGGGACCAACGGCTTTAAGTCCTCTCTGAGGGACTTGGTAATGAGGATTCATGCCTTACCAAAGGGCACTAGCGCATCGACTTGGTTTCGAACCCGGGACTTCACGGTTACTGCTCTACCACAGAGCCATCGCGTCTCCTTCATGTCTCCTTCATGTCTCCTTCCTATGTTCATTGTTTCTTTGTTTGCCTTTATGTTTCTACAGTTTGCCAATATCTTGTACATAGAATCACCTGCAGGTGTAGGATTCTCCTATTCTACCGATGGACTAACTAAGTCTGACGATAACCAGGTAAGACACAGTCGTGTTACACAGGGGATTGGGACATCCCCATAGATAAATTGTAACTGACATTGATGTAGTGTAGAATGTTTAACCAGATTTATGATTAGTATGTCTTTAGATGTGCATACCTTTTAACTAGAAAAGAGAGGGATAGGAAAAGGATGAAAAAAATTAAAAATGAGCACACAGGGAGTGGATTGGTAAACTGAATTAGAGGATAGATACAAACAGAAGCTAATGAAAGAGAGAGAGAGGAGAGAGAAAGAGAAAGAGAGAGAGAGAAGGAGAGAGAGGGAGAGAAAAAGAGGGGGGGGGGGGTGTTCAAGAGGTTGGTTGATTAATATGTAGATAAGGACACTGAAAATATTGATAACTTTCTTTTCTTTCCCAGGTGACCAGCGACCATGTAGCCGCTCTGCAGTTCTTCTTAACTGAGTTCCCTGAAGTAATTAGTCTTCCCATGTACATCATGGGGGAGGGGTACGGGGGTGTGTATGCTCCCCTGCTGGCACTCAAGATACAACAGACAACTAACATTACTACTCTTAAGGTAAACTATACTGATGTGCTTATCTGCTTTCAGCTGTGTATGTATTTTCTTCTTTGTGATGTATTAAGGTAATAGTAAACAAGAGCACATATAATTATTCAAAGTGTAAGTCACTAAGAGTATATTGTTTTACCTCCAGATTTAAAATGTAAATTGGATAACTCACTTTGAATCTGATGAGTATACTTTTTCTTTTAAAATAAGAAGAGCAAGATAAGTTAAACCGTTTTGATAGGTTATGTAATAATGATAATGATAATAATAATTGTATAGTTATATATTATATAGTGCTCATATTTATCATAAAGTGTATTTAAGATGGTCTAATATTGTCTTACTCAAGCCAGGTTTTTTTTTTAAAGAGTAAGCATATATATAAAGATCATTGCAAGATGGAATTGATTGGTTTGTTGTATTTTACAGGGCTTTGCTGTTGGTAATGGGATGACCAGTGAAGAACAATTGGCAAACTCCCTGATCTACTTTACATACTACAGAGGTATCATTGGTGACCAGTAAGTTACTCTCTTGATGCTCGAACAAAAGAAGCTTATTCTGACATTCTCACTTCCTTTATATGTTATGCAAGGTATGTGCTGTTATGGAATGTGATGGAAAATATGACAGGGAATTAAAATTATGATTTTTGTTTAAAGACAACATTTTCTTGTGTGTTCTTGTTGTTATTGTTAAAGTTATGTCCATGGAATACATAATGCCTTTCTGCATGTATTGATTTTGTGGGATTAAGGTCCTGAAACATGAACAAGGATATGATCAGTTTTTGTTTTTTATTTATTTTTTCCAGATTGTGGAGCACCCTACAACTTACTTGTTGTGTTAGTGGAAAGTGTAATTTCTACAATTCCTCAGTTGCAGCCTGCAGTGTTGCTGTAAGTAAATAGTACAACTCAATTTTCAATATTTCAACCGAGTACCGATAGAACAAATGTGTATTTCATGAAACCGCCCACCAGTAACAATTTGTCCTTGCTTTTAAAACTTGAATTTTGTAGCCGTGTGTAAAGCATGAAATGATTATTCATGCTCTTTCTACATGATTTCTCTCTTTGTCCATGCACAGGTCGACAAGGCACTGATGAATGTCGACTCAATCGGCCTGAATCCATACAATATTCTGACTGACTGTGTTGGAGAAGCCTCACCACCAGGGGGCGCCCTTCAGAAAGATGGCTACGTACACTATGGAACCAGTCCTTCTGACGTCTTCAGATATAGCAAATATGCACAGTCAAGGCAAATGGTGTGTTGGATTTATTACTGCGAATGAGTGAAATTCTTTAGTTAGGATGCAGCTGTTTTCTTGTAGTCCGTGGTTGCTGTTGAGGTGGAATAAATTGTACACTGTTGCCCATGAGGTTGGAATAATCTTTATCTTATTCAATTTCATGAAATAATCATGACTATATGGTGCATTCTTTAAAGATGGAATTTATATCTTCTCAGAATTTTGTTAATCAGTCTCTATGACTCTTTAGATTGATGAATAAAGTTCTGAGTAGATACAAACTTTATCCGTCAAGAATAAATCAATTGTCATAATCATGCCATGAAAAGAGTTGGAACAAAATATTCCAATTTAATGGGTAACAGTGTAGCTCATGTACAGGTACATTTACGCAAATGGCTCAGTAGGATACAAACCTTTATCCCCCTTTCTTCCAATTTCTCCTTTTCTACTTCTGCTGTTGTTTTGTGTCTTCCTGTATCTACTGTACTAATATTTCTTGTTTGAAGTTTACATGTATCTATCATTAGAGATTATTGTTTCAATACTGACATCAGTGAGGAAAAATATGGGGATTTCAATTTCTAACAAAGCCTAAGAAATCATCAATATCTCCTTCTTTGTCTTATCTTTCCTTTGTGGCCGCACCAGTTCCTCCATAAGCGACCCAGTCATAAGATGAGGCAGGATATACAGTGTGTGAATACAAGTCTAGTGACTGGTTACTTGAGTAGCCCCTATGTAAGAGAAGCCCTTCACATCGATGGGAGCAGACCAGCATGGCAAGTGTGCAAGTAAGTACAATCTCAGGTTTATACTTAGTACAATTTTTAGAAAAATGAGCATCAAGTATTAGGCCTATCAAGAATTAAATTATTTATGTTGGGTTTTAATTGCATCTGATGGATTGATAGTTAACATTATCAGAAAAATCCACAGAATACCAGTATACACACCAACAGAAAATTAAGAACATCATAATCATAATATGTTATTATACTCAGTATTTCATTGTGTATGCCTTTTGATGAAGATAATGAGTTTTTTAAAAGTTTATTGCATGAGAAGAAATTTTTGCAGAGAGGATTAGGTTATCAATGATTATATACAAGCTCGCTGTTTATTTTTGTTCATTAATTTAACATGATTGTGATACTTTCAATGTTTTCACTTTTCTTGACGGAAGTATTTTGTATATATATGCAACTTTTTTACATATAACATGCCCACTTATCATATCATATTTTATTTTACAGTGCTGAAGTTGCTCAGAATTACATCAAGTTGTACCCAGATCTGACGTCGACCTATATTGCACTCCAACAGACCTATGTATGTATCATTTGATTTACATCAATTTAATTTATACAATAGGCTTGCGGGTGCACCATGTATAAAATGTACGATGATTGCAAGCCTACTGTATATCTACATCACCATGCAAGCCGACACTTACAAGCAGCATCACTTTAATTATTGTGTAGAGACAGGATATTTGTTTGCTTGCTAGGTGTCTTGTATGATCTAGACATCGGGATCTTGGCTCTAAATCCACTTCTGTCTTTTGCTATTTTTAATATGCTTGCACCATTGTTGCCAATCAGCCTATTGATCAAGAAAGTGTCCATGCACTTTTACATGGACATGACGCAATACCAAAATGTTCATTTCATGATGAAAACCAATTACAAATATCCACTATATTATACTTTTATGTATATGAATATTAGTTATCATTATGGTCACCCTGAGATGGGTCATATGAAGATTGAATGTCTTTTCTTGTTTGACTGGAAATGGGAGAATATTTTGGGTGATGCATGAATGTAATATGAACATTTTTGTATTTCCGTATTGTTCTCATGTTAGTTTAAGTGCTGCTCATTGCTTGATCATGTAAACTTGAACATTCTAATCTTGTAATCATCGTACATTTTATACATGTGTATAATTTGCGGGTTCAAAAGAAAATTCTGATTCATTTTCCACCATTCAATGTTTAATCCTCATAAGGAACTTTCAGCCCTAGATGTCTGCATCATCTTACAAATATAGATTGTGTTTTAAGGTGTGAAAAGAATGAGATAGAATACCGGTAGCTTAGAAAATAGTATGAATATGCAAATTTGGTTAAAAATGGCGAACTCTCTTCTCTCCCCTGCACAGAAATATCGCGTCCTAGTGTACAACGGCGATGTAGATGCTATGAGTAACTGTCTTGGAGATGAGTGGTTTGTAGATGCCTTAGGTTTAGAGGAGGAGGTCCAATGGAGAACATGGCTCTACAGTGATGGTTCTCTCCAGATCGCAGGATTCGTCAAGGAGTATGACCGTGTTGCCTTTGCTACAGTCAAGGTATGTTTGGAGGGATAGTTTTGAGGGATTCTATGGGACTTATGGAACAATCCTTGAAATGACATGTATGTGTAAGATGGAAAGCAGTTCAGAGCAAAGGGTTGCACTTGGGTTGTATGTTTAGTTTAGGGTTGTGTTAAAGCCCCTCTGTACTACTTGTAGCTACTTGCTCCCTCTATATAGAAAACTTCCCCAATCGGTGCCTGTTGGTCCCCCATGATCCTCTTTTTCTTATGTTAGTTGAGAGCTGAGTTAATGAGATAGCCACCTGTCAGTTACCTCGCTGTGTGGTCTAATCCCTTCTGGCCCAGTAGTATTGACGGTCTTTAAGGTTACATGTAGTGTTCGGTCCAGGATTAAAGTTAGAAATATGGTTACTATAATCATAAAATTAAAATTAATTTAACAGTAGAGCATTAATAGCTGAAGAATTTGTTGTAGAACCATACCATAGCTCTGAGACTGCATCCACTGCTCTAACTGAAAGTGCACAATGCCTACTCATCAAAATTGCACATTACTGTGTTTGGAGTAGGGCCTATCAACCAACTGTTGCTATCTTTCAAGGGATAAGGGTCAACAGACTTATCCCTCGAAAATGGGCTAGAGCTCTATCACTTTGGGATTGATTAGTCTAAAATACACAGAGTAAAAGCCCTCCATGTTTATAAATTCTGAGGATATTTGAGGTCACTTTTTAAATGGTCTTGGTACCGATGGGCTTATTACTTAAAAGCATTTTCCTGGAATTTGACAGAGATTTAAAATAAAAATATTGTTGTTTGTCTGTATTTCTGATGTAGTGGCATTCTTTTTTTCCTCATTTACCTTTCTTTACAGGGAGCAGGTCATATGACAGCAGCTGACAAACCTATAGCAACTGCTCAACTTATCAGTAACTTTGTGGGTGACAAACCATTCTAGATCATGACATGGGAGTTTCTAAAACTCTTCTTTTTTCATTTATGTAATTTGTTTCTTTAAAGGATCACATTTTCTTTGATCACTAAATTAATTTAATACCTTATATTTTGATGATTATTCTTTGTTGTTGTCCAAGACAGCCTTTTAGTCAATTTATTTCACGACATAGAATTCACTTAAAGGAGCATAGCTTTACAGATCATGTGAACAACATAGTAGCTTTTAATCACATATTGAATAATACATTCAAAGTAGTTATTTGATGGACAAAGTTTAGAAAATCTGAAATCCTGTGGAAATGTATACCAGCATGATCATTTCCCTTCAAAACTAGCGAGATTTGTGTGAATTTAATGATCAGAAATATCATTTGAACTGCTAGGTAGCTTCTTCAATCTTCTGTATATTTTCTTGTTTTTGTATTTATGCAAATACATGGGGTTTTTTTGTGGCAAGGTTTGTATGTTTCTTGTTGTTGAAATTTGTCTTTAGTGTAGTGTAGTGGAGAATATATCTACATTGGTACTTGATAATTTAGTAAGCAATTGACCAGAAAGTGAAACAGTTGATGAATTAATTCTTATAGAGAAGGAAGTGGGGTGACATAATATATGTACACATACTTAAATGTACATGTATATTAAGTGCCTTTGTAGGTAACTGTGGCCATATGCATACAGCGTAATATCTTGCTCTTGCCCCCAAATTCCATCACCAATTATTCCAAATTCTGCATGTGCATTCCTAATTTTTGGTTGAGTTATACAAGTAAGATATTAAGCCCTCTATACACAGACAAGGAATCAGAGTTGGCCAACTTAGCTTTATTGAGGAGAAACATGGTGTTTTGTTGGCAAGCCCAATGTCTATGTCATTGCTAATGTTATATCTTTTGTAATAGGTTGAATCTTTGTATATTGATGACTAATATTTTTACTGCCGTATGTTTACTGCCGAATAGAATTTCTATTTTTGCTGTATCAGTGCTTTGATCAGTATGATGTAAAAGAATAAGAATAACAAACAGTTATTACAAATATTACAATTAATACAAGCCCACAGAAAAAAGCAGCATTTTGCTACCATAGTAACAAAAATAGCCAACTCTATGTACATGAATATATGGCTCTTGTTTTATTCAGCTGATAATCTTTAAATGTATTGAACAGTACTATATGTAGAAACATTCTGAAAGTACAAGAACTCTTTACAGGTATTCTTTGTATATTTTGTATATTTTGAGTTCTGTCTTGCATTTATTTTGTTTGTATATGCACATGGATAAAGTCCCCTTTCTCCTATACCATGTTATGTAAACATATATACTAAGACATTGCTTTATCATGTACACAGATGATATAGTTAATATAGTTTTATCTTTTTGACTTGCAGTGTGCATGTGATGAATGTTTAAGTTAATATTGTGTGTGTAAAACTGCCTTCAGAAATTAAAATTAGAATATGAAAGGTTCTTTGCAAAAATTAAATTTTGCCTTCCTACTTAAAAATGTATACGATAATTAGCAAAGATGTAGAATTTGTTATTGGTAAAGTATTTGGGTAATTTGTATAATTATTCACCTTATTCCATATTTTATATGTAAATTTTATATTCTAATGTAGTAATAATTGTATTCTTTAATTGCCTTTCAGTTGTTAAGACCCAAGAAGTTCTGTTTTCTTTGTCATTTGCACATTAGACTACTCCAAAATGGTTTCAATTTCGAAGTTGTGTAATCTGTGAAGTAGTGATTTCTTGAATTAATCAGAGATGAGGTATTGTTGGATTACTATATAAGCAGAAATAAAAATCTATCTTTAGAATACCATGAGTACTATATTTTATTCACCTACTTACATCTTTATAACCACTTGGCCCCCGTTACAAGTTTCGCATTTCACTTTTGCTCAACGAAAAAAATACACGGTCGCGAGTTTTGCTTACCGCCAATCAAATGTAACAATTTCAGTAGCTTATAAAAGTTCTTAATACATGTGTACCAATGATGAACCTGGGTCCAGACCTTCAACAGTGAAACTAGGAATAAATCTTCAAATTGGTCTATTGCAAGTTAGGATAATTTGAAGTATTACACAAGGGGTTTAAGTAGAGTTTGATGTATATTTATATTACATAAAATTACTTAAAAAGCATACTATGTCCCTTTTGCAGCCAACATCAAATTCTGTAGAACTTTGCAGGAATTATGAATATATCATGTATGTCCTATCTGTGAAATTTAAACGTTAGCAGTGTCCTCATATTCAAATTATGCAAGGAAACCTATTTACTTGCTAGACTTCCCTGTCGGACACTATTGAGCGACTGACTGGCTTTTTTCTTCTTTGGTAATAACATACATAAAATGAGCTGTAGAGGGTACATGAGCATTTGTCTACATCAATAAACCACTGCTTGTAATGGCCAAAATTAAACTGATTGAATCTTTGAGTAGCATAACGTACTACCATTCGGTACAATGGTCTGAAAATCAGACTATAACTAATACTCTAGATCTATAGCTCTTACGTCGATTCAACAACTAATAGTCGTTATTTTCCCACTTGTTCTAAATTAGTATTATCTTTCAAATGCTGTTGGAATTTAACCTTTTCATTTTTTGGCCTGCAAATGGGATAGTACCTTTAAGGAGCTGTAAAATAATGCTATACTTTACTCCTTGCCTAAAACACATTTTCACTTTCCAATCTTTCTTTTTTTCTTCACAGTTGCTATCCCTTATAAAAAATGTGTATTTTATATTATAGAGAGGAAGAGAAAGAGAGAGAGAGAGAGAGAGAGAGAGAGAGTGCACAGAACTCATCAAATTGTGCACTCTACATTATCACAAATGATAAAATGAATACAAATTAAGAGAACTAAATGATATTTTCCATACAGGTGATATAAGTAAACGTAATTATTTTTTAACCAAGAGAAAAAAAAGCAAATACATTAACAATGTATGATATTAATAAGTTGTGTTTAGATAGTGTGGTAAACTGTGCAATTCCCTAAATACTGGTGCTTTGATATAGGAGAATGTACAGAGGAAAGAGAGGAGACACAAAAAGTTATTGAACAAGTTATTAAAATAAAAACAAACAAAATAATGCACAAAATAATAAAGGCAAGAAAATTATGTACAAAAGCATTTATTCAAATGGCAAAGGAAACATCATGGTCTCATATTGGTCCACACACAGATTGCTTCTGGTATATATATGGCAAGTGAAAAAGTTACAATTAATATTTTTCTGAATTTGATATAAAATTCATAAAGAAAATATCAAAATCAATGGTATTGGTAGTGAAATGTAGAGCCAATAATACACATAGAAAATAATATGGAGGCGTTAAAAACGATACCATACATTTTGGGGCTAATTTCAGCCGGCATAGTAAAAGCCTGTATGAGCGCACCAATTACATTTTTGGTAGAGGTAGATGGTTAAGAACAAATTGCAAGATCGTTTTGAATACTTGATACCACAGTATAAGAAGTGCATTACATTGGTAATTAAAGGGGAAGTCCACCCAAATTTTAAGTTGGTTTTTATAATAGAAACAGGTCTATGAACGTTTGAGAAAAAACCAATTAAAAATAAGACTTATGAATTTTAAAGGTGCGATTAAATCAAATACAACATGGCAACTTTGTGTCCTATCTTGCGAGCTCCCCTCCCATTTGTCTTGTACTACAAACCTAAAAGATTTATATTTTGATTATTTTCCCTCAAGAAAATGTTCAATCATACATTCACCCTAAATATTGTTGCAAATAAGTTTCTATACAACCCCTGTATGAACAAAATCTATTCCATCATCACTAACTAGGAAACTGCAAGTTTATGAAATTTTCTGTACAGAGCAAATAGGAGAGGAGCTCGCAAAATACGTCACAGTATTGCCAATTTGTCTTTCAATAATGAAAACTTCAAAAATTCATGACTTTCCTACTTTTAATTGGATATTGCTCAAACTTAATTTGTTTGTCTCATTTTTCTGCTTTTATTAGAACCAACTAAATAATAGATTTACACTAGTACACTAAAAATATCAAATATTAAGATTATAAAGATTGTAAAATTCATGGGCAATACTATTTCATATTTAACTGAACAATATCTCTCCTGTGTCACTACACAATATTATTATAAGCAAACATTGCTTAATGGGTAAACATTTTTCAATATATATCAAATATATATAATCCTGCGTCTTATCACCCTGTAAAATTATTGTACATGTATCAGGTTTCACATAGGTAAAATAAGAATACAAACGATCATGGCAAAATTCAACAATCCACAAGATTTATTTTGCAATATGAATGTTAACAAATTCATATAAAGACATAAATTTCTGCAAGTGGTTACTATAATTTCATTTCTTATCAATGGAATATGCCATTAAATGGAAAATTCAAAACTCATTTGTAAATTGCAAAAATTGTCAGTAATGATGTAAAAGTAACAGTACTAGTTTCATTTCTTAACAATGGAATTCGCCATTAAATGTGAAATTCAAAACTCAATTGTAATATGAAAAAAATTGTCTGTAAGTAACAGTGCAATAAAGTTGATTGTAAATCGAGCACTAGAAAATTTATCATGTCATGATCGACACAAGGGAACAGTTCATGTACAAATAGCAGTATTTGATGATTTGATAAATTGATACCTATTTCTGAGTATTATGCTTGTGAATGCTACAGAGTACCTCTAGCTGTACCACCTATCCTACGGATTGGTGAACTGAATATACATATATATATAATACAAACATTTATAGCGCCCAGAAAAAAGAAGGCATGAACAGTTTATCAATGTCCTGAAAATTCATGCATAAAAGTCAATGTAATAAATTGTTGTATTTTTTTTCTTTCTAATTTCATCAGCCATACCGTTTATTTACTCCTTTTTCCTCCGACATGTAACATGAATTCCTAGACTTGCAAAGACATGCACATATGAAGTTATTCATTATGATTTATAGTTAACAAACCACATATTAATTCGGCTATCAAATTCTTTTTGACATTACAAATTTATCAATACAAATAATAATATATTCTTAGAGGTAAATATGAGAATATTGCAGGAAAATAATCACTTGTTTGTTTTAACTAATGTGTCACTTTCAGTATTAATGGGGTTTATGCTACCCAAAAAAGGGTACCGGTAATCAAATATTGCTGTATAACATAAATACATGGAAATATCTTAAAAGATTACACTTTATGCCACTGTGGCGCACCCTGTACAATGTACACTGTATGTATAATACTGATAAACATTGATCTAATGCCGCCAAACTCTGATTCCATTGAAATTTATTAAATGGTTGTTTAGAACATGACAGTCCTCTCAAAAAAGCTTCAAAACAGCCTCATTAGGAGTGACTGCATCAAAAGCTGTGTGCAGTATCTACTCACATATAAAGACCAGATGCTGGTAAATCATGTCTTAATCTCACTCTCCCACAGCCTGGTATATGGATGCTCTGAAAGATATGCATAATAATAAACAAATCCTTAAAATTTGTGAATAAATTGCATTTTTCAGAGAATACTTTTATAACAGAATACCGTACTGAAAAGGGGAAAATCTGATTGTGTACATTTCCATATTGGAAGGTTTGGAGGTTTCTCTGTAAACAAAAAGAAAAAAAGAAAAAGAAGATGTTTTCTATGAAACAGATTTTAGCAATTTCAAATGAAGCCATTTGGACTGTGGCTGTCTCTAAATCTTTTAAATTCAATTTGCTTTGTTCTCCCTCTCTTCCTCCCATAAATTGCACAACTTTTCTGAAGTTCAAACTCCAACTTTTGAGACAAAACTTAAAATATAGCAAGTACTGGAGGAATATTCAACACCAATCTTAAATAACTAAAAAGTAGCAGAAAACTTGACTGACTGAGATTTAATGCACAGTATTTAACAGAATGCTTGCGGTGGCTGAAGCCAAAGTATGTTAAGAAGAACTTACCATTCTCTTATAGTTCTTTCTTTTGAAAATGGACGGTCCTCCAGAATTTCTGATGACAAGCCTTCTGGAGTGGGTTACGGTCAGCTGTAAGAGTAATAAATTTGATCAGATATTACTCAACTGAATGACAGTTATCTGAGTAAAAGTGAGCTAATGATGAGGAAATCAGATGAAACAGAACATGAACACATGGTAACACACACACACACACACATATATATATATATGCATTTTATGTATGTAAGTAGGAGTTTTTCAGAAATTTCAAAGAGATATCACAAACTGTTTTGTATCGAGGATGTTTATATTTTCCAGGTCTAAACGAACTATCCCTTGTATGATAAACAATTTAAAATGAGTTTTAGACAGTTTCTCTCAAAATGCAGTTCAACAAAGCCCAATTCGATATTACTGGTATCCTTTAGTGTACACTTTATCACAATTTTCGATTTACTTCTTAAATCACAAGAGATACAATCATAAGCATGAGTTACCAGGGGCTACATACCACTTTGTACTTTAGAAGACGAATGGAACACTCCGGTAGGACAACCTCTCTTTGTGCTGAGTTTCTCCCATTCATTGGCGCGGATGTTCTTTTGAGTTCTGTCACTGCTTGCTCAAAAGGTGCCTGATTTGAATAATATAGAAAGTACATATGTCAATCATTTCACTGAATCATGTAGGCCTACATTGGCAGTTAGTATTTTTAACAACGTCAAGAAGAAAAAAAAAATGATGAGACTATATGTTACTTTCTTGCAGACTGAACATTCTACACCCTTTTTCAACCTTGCATTGTGAACATGCCTGGGAGTAAGGTATTTCTTTTCTTCCCTATCAGATACTGATCACAGTGATCCCAGTTAGAATTGATCAGAGGGCCAGAAAATCACCTAGAATAAGCTATTTTGTACACAAAAAACCTAAACTATGGCCTAAAAATAACTTGCCAGGGCCAAAATTCAGGCTTTTGCCTGAAAACTGGCATTTCTGTGATCAATGCCTTCATGCCCCTATCACATTTGCACCTTCAATTTGTTAAAGTATTTAATGATCTACCATCTACCTATCATACCTCATTATCGTCTTGAATGAAAGGAGTACTCTGGTCTTCCATTTCTTGGTCCGAGTCAGCTTTAGTAGAAAGGACAGGAGCTTGTTTCTCAACATTGCTTTCTTCTTCCACTTCCTGGTTTCAGAAGTTACAAAATAATAAACATTGAAAGTGAATTGAAAGAATCCAACATCCCTGTAGTTTCTTCCAAACAAACACTGTTTTTCAACAAATAGTCCAACTCGATCAAAAGATGCTCTCATAGAAAGCAGAGATACAATTAGAACAATTGGTTCCTCTACATCATATTCATGTGCACTCTGACTCCATTCAAGGAGAGTAAAAAAAGGCCTGGTGAGATGGATAAAAACTTCTTTGCACCCTACATGAATCATGTTCAAATTGGTAAAGTTAACATTTATTCCAGCAGTCAGTTACTCCCCCAATAGTGAAAAGCTGGCTATGCCACTGTACAAACCTGTTCTTCTCAGAATCACTGCCATGTCCCTTTTTTGAATGATTTCACTCACCCATTAGCCATCAATTCTTACCTCTATAAACTTCTCCTTCTCCAGGACAATTGAACATTTACGTAGATAAACCAATCTCTCAGTTGGGTCAGGGTCTGTCGATGGTTCAGACCTCTGTGTCACTTCATTTACTGCTGCCTCACTTGGTGCCTTTTTAGTTATAGAAACAATGAAGAATAACAAGATGTGAGTTGGTCTAGTGGTACAAATACTTCTGTTTTGGCCTTATTACTAATTCTGGCGGACCTGATTCAAAACAGCATTGTGTCTTTTGATTGGTGACATTAAAGGTCAGTCTCATGACACAATAATCAGGTCTGATTGATACATGTCCACTTGCAAAAGCCCTATTACATACACATGTAAGACATTAATCTACACTTGCTACATTCTACCCAGGTGAAGGTAAATGGTAGGAAGACATTTCTTTAATACTTGAGCATCTTAGCAGCTATGCCGAAGCCAAGGTAATAATCATGCAGTTTGTAATAGAGTACTGAAGCTGTGACATCATAAAAATCTATTCTTAGAATTTCTAAATTTTTTCGTCATTTTCCCGAAAGAGCATCAAAAATAATGTCCAAATATCAAAAACCAATTGAAAATGTTAATTATTGTGACCATCTGAATTTAAAAGATTTCCTATAACCTGTGCTCAGTGTTATATTGCTCTGGCTCCTAATGTTATGAAGAAAAAATTGAGAAATTCAAAAAATAGATTTTGATGAAGTCAAAGTTCACCACTCTATAGGCAATAAGTATACTTCATATCTCTAATGTCTCTATGATAAGTATGATTGTTACTATTTAAAAATGAATACTTTTCATTCAACTTCAGTCCTTAGAACATTACTCCATACCTAGCAGAAAGAAGAGGGGTTGTGGTCTAGCCCTTTGGAAATGCATAGAGACATTATATCATAATGTGATATGCACTATTTTAGAACAGAATATTATTATTATTATTATTATTTGTATAAATAGGATGTTCAATTCAATTCAATTCTATCGTTTTATTTTTCCAAATCATTAACAAATGTAAATCATATACAACAATAGATACAATTCATGTACAGTAAAATAATAGATAAGGAAAAAAAGGAGAACAAATCAGAAAGCAGAAGCTTGGGGGTTAAAAAGTTCCCTCAGTACATTATCATAATCAAACTGTGTATAATAAAAGAAAAGTAAGAAAATATTCAAAAGCTACACTTACACTGTACAAAACTGACAAATCACCAATGATAAATTACACATCCATGCATACAATCAATCACACAGGGAAGGGGGGGGGGGGGGGGGGAGGGGGTCAGGATTCAGGAGTGGGCAGTTGTGACTGGTGCAAGTCAGTCCCCTACTCATACATGTAAGCAGGTAAGGTGACAAAAGACTGACCTGGACCAGCCACAAAAAAAAGAGTGACCGGCCCTTGGAACAAATCTAATCTAAATAATATACATGGTAATGATTATAAATGGATAACATGCTTCTTTACATCTGTGTTTGTCTTTGGGCATAATCCAAGCATAGCTATGAATCTAGTAAAGCTCTCTTCTCTTCCAGTGGCATCACCGCTTGGTGAAGGAGATCTTTGTCTGACATCAGGTAATACTTCTATATCTTCTCTCTGTATTGAACATATTAAAGGGATTAATAACCAATTAAAATGTAGCAGACGATACAGCTCATGTTCACTAGATATTGGAATGCTTTGTGAGTTGTTGTCTCGTATACTAGAACACATGGGCTCTGCCTTATAAAGAGTTGCAACTGATTGAATCGATCTGTAGATGAATTGCAACTACATGTAAGTACTGAAGAGTTAGGAGATTATGAGTTTTCTAAAGACTGGAGAACTAGCAATCAATTCAGAATAAATACAATTCTTCATTAGACTAGGCCTAGATAACTTGTGACAAAGTGAATATTTGTGAATAATTCTTGCATATCACGGAAACAAATTTGCAGCTTTATTTTACTTTTAATATGCTTATATCACAAGGGCTTGGATGTCTACAAATAGGAGTAAATGCAGAACAAGACATACTGAATCATAAGCGTTTCTCCTTCCTGTTAAATATTATATTAATAACGATACTACTACTAACAACAACAATAATAATACCATTAAGGGACCAAAGCACTAACAGTATTATTATAACCCTGGTCATTGGATTCAATTATTATTCTGCACATTAAAGTGCACATTAAAGTACACATTCTTCCCTCCCTGGGGAGCATTCCAGCTGGTCACCTTTAAACGGGCACGCACATGTTTGAGTTTTTAAATAAAAAATAAATGAAAAGTAGACAATTACTTGCATATTGCTGATGCAGTATGATACAAAGTTGTCATCCAATCTGTAATCTATAATTGGTGATGTCTTTCCAAATTATCTTCCATCACAAGAATTAGTGATGTGTAAGAGCGTTATAATCATTGCTTCGTACATACCTTTTGTATTGGTTTGGACTTCCGTCTGTAGGGAGAAGACTTGGAAGACTTGGAGTGTGACAAAGATGTGTCCACATTGTGATTTGATATGGACTTCTTGAGCCCATGAGAAACGCCAGATAGGTGGTCTGTTCTTTTCACTATACCTGGACTGCTTGGAGAGGATCTTAGCCTTCTTTCCTCAGCTGCATCTTGGTGATGTGCCTAAAAAAGAATAACGATTTAGAACAGATTGTCAAATCATTACGTGTTAACGAACTATATCATACATGGGCCTTAGAACTAGACATATATGTATGTACCATAAATGTGATGAATGACTAGTGATAATTTGAACTGAAATAAATTTGGCTGTCTGTAGATTTCGTGCCTGGTTCGTTCAAAACAAAAGAATTCAACAGAGTGAAAGGATTTTAAGTACAATATAACATCTTTCTCTTAAAAAGACCCCCAGAAGTATCTATATATTAGAATGATCTACAATACAGAAACATATCAAACTCAATAGACTAAGAAAGATTCAATTGCAGCAAGCTTACTTAGAGACTAATGTCAAGTCAGGGGCACAATGAACTAAGGTGCAACAATGCATGGAAAAGCAGTCCCAACATTAACATTAACCACTTTTAAAAATGTTAAATGTGTTGATAATGGATAACAATATGCCAATTTCCCCACTGCAAAACTTACCAACTTATATGTTTATCTAAGCTTCATAAAATCACGAGCATTCACAGCCTAACCGCAGGCCGAGGTCGGCCCTGTATTGTAGAGGGGATTTCATTCATAAGGCCCTCTAGCGTTCTAAAGTGGAAAGTCTTGATGTTGTTTAAAAGTGGAATATGCACGTCATTGATTAACCGCTAGCCTGAAACACCAAATAGAATTCCTGCCGACACATGTCATGATAAGTTTGAAGAGCAATAATCAATGTACTGTTTCGTTCCTTTTCTGACCAAATATGACGTATTTGTGCAAATTTTATGTTGCTTCAAAGACGGGTTATTGAAAAACACAAGATTTTGCATGCCCTCAAACTTTGCGGGATCCTGACCCATATTAAACATGGATTAAATAAATTTTATGTGGACTGGAAAGCCAATATTGTGATGCAAATTTGACACGAAATTTATTTGGGCCCCAAAATAAAACTATGTGTCACAAATCGAGTTGTTTTCAAAGTTTTCATCTTTGTAAACAAAAAACTTTAACGTGGAAATTAAATTATTTACAGGATTTGTATAATGAATATTCTTAAATATTACTATGATACTGCAAAAAACAGGGCGCAAAAAGTGATAAAATGAAGGAGATATCGTTGTTTGAAAATGTGCCTTCTCGGAGAGCTCTACCTACGGTACAGGTCAAACCAGTCAGAGTTAGCCGTATTAATGAAATAGACGTGTTTTTGCACACCTGCCGTTAGGCTGATTCACTATGTAGAGTGTTGTATTTTTAATTGAATGTTCTATCTTTCTCTACCCTACATACATGAGAAACCTCTCTCTCTACATGTATGGCATTTAAGGTTCATCTAAAATTTATCTTACCTCTGTAAATACATCATCTTTCTCTTCTGCTCTTTCAGGTAGGTCACTATCATCCTCATAGCATGCAACCACAAAAGGAATTCCCTGGAATGGTGTTGAATAAAAAATAAAAAACAATTAAAAAAAGGAACGGTAATTGCTAGTGATTTTTACGACGCTCCACAGTAAGGTTTGATAATAATAATAATAATATATTACATTTAATACAATGTTTCTATTAAAGCCTGTCTGGTCACTGACAGATGGTTATCTCATCAAATCAGCTCTCAATTAACATAAGAAAAAGGGGATCATGGGGGACCAATAGGCACTGATTAGGCATTGTTTTCTATATAGAGGGCCCAAGTTCTTGTAGTACAATGGGGCTTTAAAGTGCTTAACAGAAATACAAAGTGATGTTAACCTACAACAATTTTATGCATGATACATAATTCTAATAACAATTTCCTAAAAATAATTTTCTAATAATTATTCTTTACCCAGCACTTCATAAATTCACAAACGAAATTAAGTTTATTCTTGAAGGTTTCTAAAGTTGGGGACTCGTGTATTTCATGGGGAAGATTGTTCCACAATAGGGGGGCACAAACAGAAAAGGCACGATTGCCATAGCGGGTGTGGGTGCGAGGGCCTGGTCCTAGATGTAAATGTGTTTGTGCGCACCTTAGCAGTGCAGGGCCAGCAAATCGTGTAATTACTATGCACAATACCAGGAACTCCATATTTATCGCAGCTAGTTGCACAATCATCTACAAAATATCACAAGTGAAATTGTAAATGTTTAGCATTGAAAAACAACAATATCATTCATACATGGCTAGGGAACCAGACGGAAAGTGGGGCTGTAAATCATAGAAACTGGTCTTTTTACAATTATTGTGCATGTTCTCATCATACCTCATTGTATTTTGTGCAGTCTTTGAGGGCTACGAAGCACTTGGATACAGGAAACAGTCTTGATGTACACGCATCCATCTCTGAAGATCTCTGTCTCTGCTCACAAGCTGCCTCTTCGTCCGGTGTCTAAGTGAAACGAGGGCAAGTGTGTATTGATCACTAGAATGAATTGCAGGGATCTGCACATGTGAATGATGCCCCAACTTATCCCTGCCAAACTTTCACAGCAAAAATTAGGAATCTCTCGTGGCAAAATTAGGAATTCAGTTTTCACAAAAAGAGAGAAATCTAGAAATTATAACATTTCTTTGAAGGCAAACAAATGAGACTACAATGTAATTTCTCCAACAGTAAGAACAGTTGGCAGTTTGGGTAACTTTATTGTAAGTCAACAAATCTCAGATGCAGCGGTAATTGCTGAGACACCATCCCATTCAGGTCTGATCTGACCATGGCCTAGCTACTAGAGACTGAAGAGAGGTCAGTTTGGTGCATGAAATCCCTCTTAGGATGGGGATTGGGATCATTCATTAAAAGCCATTTGGTTGACACATTATGAAAGACCTTTCGGTTGTAACTAAACCAAAAGGACTAATGATTTAGCGGTAAGACATCCATTTTCTGGATTTAACAAATCTGAAAGTGTATTTGCCTCCCTACAGGAACTCAGGCAAGGCTATTTTTAAGATTCTTAATGAGTAATTTATACAGTTCAATAAAGAACGTTAATCCTTCACCGCGCAATTCAAGTTATAAATTGGAATGTATGGAGGAGTGAACTCACCAGCACAGAACCAGTGTCAGAAGATTCAATGTCCATCGCCTCTTCACTGTCTTCATCAAATCCTTGATTTTAAAAACAAACATGAAATTACTACCAACAAAAAAATTGTCTAAAAGTTCATGTCAACAACAAGCAAAGGAAGAAAGAGAAGACAAGAACATTTTCCAATTGTAAATATACTTATGACATCAGTAGCTTTCAAAGCTATAAGGAGACGGTACAACATATATGTATCATTGTCTAAGAGAGTTTCGTAGTGACAATGACTACATTTTTAATGTTTTTCTTAGATGATTTGGAATATCGTACAGTGTACATTTGTGTACAGATTAAAGAGGCATTAGGTTTGGGGTCAAAACTCTAATCAAGCTGTCTATGTGATCAGAGAGTCTTAATTATATTTGAGGACATCAGTTACCTGGAAAATATTGCATGTAATTTTATGAAAATATAAATACATGTGTATTTCGAAGTACATTTCTGATTTCTACATTCTTACCCTGATGAATATCTCTGTTAAAATCAGGTGACTGTCTCCTAGATTGATTAAGATCTCTGTTTACATCAGGTGACTGTCTCCTAGATCTGTTAAGATCTCTGCTAAGATCGGGTGGCTGCCGCCTAGATTGATTAAGATCACCGTTTACATCAGGTGACTGTCTCCTAGATTGATAAAGATCTCCATTTACATCAGGTGGCTGCCGCCTAGATTGATTAAGATCTCCTTTAACACAAGGTGATTGTCTTCTAGATTGATTAAGATCTCCTTTAACACAAGGTGATTGTCTTCTAGATTGATTAAGATCTCCTTTAACACGAGGTGATTGTCTCCTAGATTGATTAAGATCTCTGCTAGCATCAGGTGACTGTCTCCTAGATCTGTTAAGATCTCTGCTAACATCAGGTGACTGTCTCCTAGATCTGTTAAGATCTCTATTTACATCAGGTGACTGTCTCCTAGATTGATTAAGATCTCTGCTAAGATCGGGTGGCTGCCGCCTAGATTGATTAAGATCTCCTTTAACACAAGGTGATTGTCTTCTAGATTGATTAAGATCTCTGTTAACACCAGGTGACTGTTTCCTAGATTGATTAAGATCTCTATTTACATCAGGTGACTGTCTCCTAGATTGATTAAGATCTCTATTTACATCAGGTGACTGTCTCCTAGATTGATTGAGATCTCTGCTAGCATCAGGTGACTGTCTCCTAGATTGATTAAGATCTCTGTTAACATCAGGTGACTGTCTCCTAGATTGATTAAGATCTCTATTTACATCAGGTGACTGTCTCCTAGATTGATTAAGATCTCTGTTAACATCAGGTGATTGTCTCCTAGATCTGTTAAGATCTCCGTTAACATCAAGTGACTGTCTCCTAGATTGATTAAGATCTCTGTTAACACCAGGTGACTGTTTCCTAGATCTGTTAAGATCTCTATTTACATCAGGTGACTGTCTCCTAGGTCCGTTGAGATCTCTGCTTACACCAGGTGATTGTCTCCTAGATCTGCTAAGATCTCTGTTAACACGAGGTGACTGTCTCCTAGATTGATTAAGATCTCTGTTAGCATCAGGTGACTGTCTCCGCAATTGATTGAGATCTCTGTTAACATCAGGTGACTGTCTCCTCGATTGATTAAGATCTCCGTTAGCATCAGGTGACTGTCTCCTAGATTGATTAAGATCTCTGTTCACATCAGGTGACTGTCTCCGCAATTGATTGAGATCTCTGTTTACATCAGGTGACTGTCTCCTAGATTGACTAAGATCTCCGTTAACATCAGGTGACTGTCTCCTAGATAAGGTTTGGTTAAGATCCCTCCTAACTTGATGTGACCGTCTCTTACTGTGATTGTGATCTCTGTCTTTGTTGCTTATCTGTCTCCTGCTTTGGTTGAGACCTCCATCTCTGTCAGATTGCTCAGTCTCACTGTCATCATCTGATTCTATAACCTCTCTCATGATCTTTAAATACAGAAGTTCTGCCCCCTGCCTACTCTGCTCAAACCTCTTTCCTGAATCATCTGAATAATCGGAAGTATTCCTCTCACGGAGTAAAGCTCCTTGCTTATGTCTTTTCAACCATTTTGCTGCACCTTGTCTCATTACATCTAAATCCTCCCCTGAACACCCCAAAAGTTCGACTGATTCTTCCTCTCCATCAACCTCTTGCTGTCTTGTTCTTCTTGTTTTTTTCTCCTTAGGACACTCATAATTCCAGATGTCCCTGAGAAGAATGTGAAGATCCTTTTCACTGGGAAGGCCATCCATACACAGTAAGACCAGCCTTTTGTATATCCTATTGCTCTTTGGTAATCCAGTGTCAAATAAATTGGGTAGCTCATAATGAGAAGAACCATTACGTGATGACAACTGTTGGGAAAATAAGAATAAAACATCATGCACTGTCTTTATATTCAAATGAGCTAAAGAAAAGGTATGAAAATTCCAAAAATTGTCTTGCATCTAAAAAAGATACAATAAAATATTAATCTATTCAGCGAATTTCAATGAATACTGTCTTCCAAAATCTTTGAAAATGGCAGACAATACCACACCGATGGATTTTTTTTTAAGTGACTGTATTATTAGAAAAGAATGTTTTTTTAATTAACATTGTTATATGTCTAAACACTTTAAATAGTAGTAAAAAATATCAAAGTACGACCAAGTTTCATCAGCATCATAATCAACCCCCTGAATGCTTCATGGATGTACATCATCACAGTGAACTCGGATTACTATTTTTCACTCACACATAAAAATGCTTCTTAGAATTGGGTATTGATCCATGATTTTCATATTTCTACAAACTTAGAGACATTAAGTTACTACAATATAAATACATTCTGGAATATAAGTTGCAAAATGAGACAATCAATAGACGTTGAAGAATTACTGATATTATGATATGAATTTTGATGGCAGACTGCATTACACAATACCGGGGTAAAAAATAAAAGAGATGAAAATGACAATAGGCCCAAAATTTGCAGACAGGACATAACAAAAATGTTTGTGGCAATTTTCAGTAAGATATTAAAGCAAATAGCACTTTTCCTTCAGGAATTTTTAGGAGTGGAACAAGAATACTTCGTTGTATACAAGACCAACTGAATTCCCCATTACTTTCCAGAGCTGTTACTGATAACTCTAACCTTACCTGCTCAATCTGTGTAGGAGCAAGTTCATTACTGATCTCTTTGACATAGTGCTTCACTTGATTCACAAGGAACTCCTTCTCTGCAGCTGGAACTACATGGTGTCTAAACTCATTTGTATGGACGATTTCTAGAAGCTGCTGTCTGATGTCTTGAAGGTGGAATCTATCAAGTCTGCCTTTCTTGTCCTGGAGTAGAGTTGGGCTGTCTAACTATAAAAATATAAAAATATAGATTGACAAAATAAAACATCAAGATGTGATTTCGCATAGATACGAGTCTAAAATTCAAGACTGTCATGTAAAGGGGTATGGGAGCTTTATCTAAACTCCCCATAATACAGTATAACAAATTTATCTCTCCACAACAAGACTGATTTTCATACATGTACCTTACTTTTATATTAGGATTTTATTTCTGCAATAAACAGAAAAACACAAATATTTTTGGGTGAATTTACATCTTGTGATCTTTGACCTAATACAAATGTGTACAAATACCAACCTTCCAGTTCATACCTCTAGAGCTGTTTGATCATCACTGACACAAATGAACAGACAAAAAGATAAGCAATGCCTCCAACACCAAATCGGGCACAAAAAACATTTTAGTAAAAGGATAACTTTTCCAAAATATTCATACATACAGTATACAGACAGACTTTGGTGGCGATTATCATTATATTCATCTTTTATAAAAGAGGCATTGTCTTCTGACTTTTGTCCTGTTGTTTTCATCAATAAAACAAGATAGAATAAACAAAATTCAAATTTTAGTTTGCCAGCTAAACTGTGCATCCTTTCTTGACAGTGTTCACACATGCTAAACGTGTCAACAATGTCATGTATATGTAAGTGTAAGCAGTTTACCGGGCCTAAAAGAACATCGTTTAAAAACCTATACTCAATTTACACTTCACTACATTGCATAAAGTGCTGAATACAAAAGTTGTTACTTACATTAGAATAAGGAAAGTATTTATCAAGTAAATCGTAGGCATCTTCTGCTGTCTCTTTATGGCTCATCTTATCCAAAACAATCTGTAAAAGATTTCATGAACACATAGAATGATTGATCTCTCAAAACTTCTATTTTATTAGGGGCGGGCTTCATTATCATCATTAAAATATTTTCTATGTTTTCTATATTTTCTATTAAAAAAGAGAAAATATTTCTATTACTTACGTAGATGCAAATCATGGTGCCACTCTACCACTTTCTACCTCCAGGGGTCATTTTAAAGCATTCTTATTATCAAGGAGGCCATTTGCTCTAAGACTCATTTGCCCTTTGGGCTCCTAAAAGTGTAAGAATATTCAATAAAGTAGCATTCTCCTTGTGGACACATATGAAGGGTAAAGGAAAATCAACAATGGCATTACAGCCTCAACTCCATACATTTTAATAGACCTACATTCAATTTCAATTTCCAACAGCTTTTCACCCATATCTTAATGTGGACTCCCGTATTCCAACTAAACTTGTGAGTATTCTTTTCCTCTCCATTCCCTTTCTTTTATCCTTAGATAATTTCCTGAGGTTCTTTCAGTTTTGGTCAGAATGAAACTTCTGTAAAATCATCCTTAGCAAATGACAGGAGGAAAAGCGATTAACAAAGTGATTTTAACAACACCACCTTTAAAGGTTAAAACATATAAAACATAGAACTCCACATAGTTTGAATTTAAAGATCAAAAGTGTAGAATTGCCCAATTCACTGACTCACCCGTCTCTTTAACTCTCTTATTATCTTGGTAGAATGTGATATCTGGAGATGCTTTCTTGGGCTTGAATCAATTTTCTTATTGATCATCTTTAGAATGTTTATCACCCTCCTAAAAACGATGACATCATCCTTCTTGATGATCACCAGGACGACAGCAAGGAAGAGCCTCAGAGGGGCTAGAAAGAGCACTTGAAATGATTCCATCCCTCTTCTCTCCAAAATTTCTGTAATTTTAAAAGCATTCAAATAGATTTCAAAGTTATTACATTATGATAATAGGCAAACAATATGACTGCCAAGTGCCAACTCATATTACTTATTGTATGTAAGTGACAGCAGCAGTGAGTGTACATAACTGGTCTCATATTTACAGTTCAATGTACATGTACACGTGATAGAGTAGTGCACAAAGAACTTTGCGCATTGAGCGCTGGACAGTGAGTTTACGCACTCTCATTGGCCGATCGGCTTGAGTGGCTTCACTTAAGGAGGCGAGTTGGCTCAGTCGGTAAAGCGTCCGTCTGTCGAACCAAAGATCCCGGGTTCGTCTCCCACCCAGGCGGATGACTGGAGCCTGCGTTGTGTGTTAACGTGCCCCTTCCCTTGTTCATAGACACAGGTTAAGTCAAGTGGAAAACACTCCGTCCCTCAGATAGGAAGTTAAATGGAGGCCCTGTGTAGAGAAGAGTCACTACCTTTGCACGTTAAGAACCCACTGCACTATTCGTATAAGAGTAGGGGGAAACCCTGTCGTAGTGGTCCACCTGCACACACCCCCCAGTATAGTACGATATAATATAAAGTATAATACTCTGTAAAGAGGTCTGTACTCAAAAGGAAGAAAAAGAAGAAGCGCAACTTAAATTCAATGGCAATGTCAATACGTGTCACACCACAGAGATTTTGAAAGGTCATGCTTTAAACAGGTGACGCACATAACTGTGCCCGCATTGATATCCTTACTCCCCACGAATTCACCTTTCCCCAAATGGCTGTGTGTCCGTACATGCTTAATTTGTGTATATCGTGGTGTAGCTGATGTGTGAGCAGCGCGCGCGGACCTTGGAAACAAACCTCCCTGGAAATTTTTAATTGTTTCAAATTGGTCATCCAGGGACCAGGCCAGGACCGTCCAGGAGGACATTTCAATCCTGGTTAGTCCGGGACGGTCCGTGTAGCAACCGTAGTGGTACAGACTACAGTGTTGATCACTTCGGACCGTATACGGTTCATGCCGGACCAATGATGGATGATCACAGACCCAACTGGGGCATTCCGTGTTGGGATCGGGACAGTCACAGGTGACCTTGTATTTTTAAAATGAAAGTTGATTCATAAATATTGATCAAATTTGTAAGAAAGTAAATAGACCTCTACCCTGTCTAATTAGTAATTATACCATTTTCATAATGACACTGATAGTGAATCTAGAATCACCTAGCCTAGACAGAAATAACCGTCTGGTACGGGGAATTCTTAAATAAAACTGAAATTTGTCAACCTTGCATCAGTGACAGTGGTGGACTGGTGCAGCTGATGCCAGACGCAGCTCAGCTAGTCTCAGGGCCGGGGAACAACGGGCGCGATCGCGATCGCGACGAATGGTCGATATCTATCAGAGACTGAATTGATCTATGTCGGTCTATTATTAAACCTAGCGCCTTACCTGCCAGAATATCCGTCATGCCTTTCTTTGATGCATACTCAAGAATAATCTCTTCCACTCGTTGCTGATCCATGGAATCTCTATCAAAAGAGCAGAATGCCCCATTAATTTTATCAAGAGCAACTGCATCTACTAATTTGCACAGTTAGCGGAATTATATGCAGCAGATTATTGTTTATTGTTTTTGACGCAGAGGGCAGCAAATTGCTATGGCTCCAAATGGCTCTCTCTGTACTGTGTGTGCGTGCGTGTGGGTGTGGGTCGCCAGTCGTACTTTTAGTGAAATAATATGGGGTTTAAAGGTAATTTATCCCTGTTGCAGACAACATCACTTTCTGTAGAACTTTGCAGAAATTATGAATATATCACCTATTATGTCCTATCTGTGCACAATTATGCAGTTTACTTAATTTCTAGACTTCATGCACTGTCAGACACTATTAAGTGGGTACATTGAGTGACTGACCAGGGAGTTTAAACTCACAACTCCCTGAACATAATATGAGCTGTAGGGGTAAATGAGCATGTGCCCTGACTCTACATCGATAACCCACTTCATAATCCCCATAACTATAAGTGACTGAATCTTTGCGCAGCATTGCAAAACATACAGCCATTCGGTACAAGGGCCTGAAAATCAGACTATTTAATTAAACGACCGCGATCGCTAAATTCGATTAGACAACTAACGGTTTTTATTTTCCAACTCTTGAAGGCATAATTACCAAGCCCTTTTGTTTTGAGGGAAGTTCTAAATTAGTATTATCTTTCAAATGCCGTTGAAGTGTAACCTTTTCATTTTTTGGGCCTGCAAATGGGACATGTCCTTTAACATCACTAAATTTTGAGAGATAACGTAAAACAAAAGGGGGTAAGAGAGGAGAGGGAAAAAGCGACAATTAACGCACGAGTTTGGTATTGAACCTGATAGCTTCCACTACCAAGAAGATCGCCTATTTGTTGACACTTTCTGAATATGTCAATGCCTAGTATACTAATTTATTTTACGCTTTCAGGATTCATCATGATGATTATTTTTATAGTCAGATGTTGTCAAGATTTCCCCATAAAATTTTTCTTTCAGTTACAAGTATGAAAGTGAGTTTTTATATTATTATCATTTATTTTTAAAACTGCCGACATGAAAGGCTTTGTCAATAGGCCACTGCGTGCAGCTCCCTGGCATAGGATAATGAATAGAAAACTGGTCTATCTAATAGGCCGTCTTGTAATAATGGTCGTAATTTGCATACATTAATTGTTGCTAGGTAGGACAAACCATAATGTTTGTCCTACCTAACAACACGTAATGTATGCACTTTGCAAGAGGTCTATTGAAATACAATTATTCGTAACAGCTAAATGAAATAATTTGTAATTTGAAATTTGAAATTTGAAATTTATTTGATTTCCAGGTACATAAACAAAATAAAAATGACAACACAGAGCATATAACATTAAGACAGTGAAAATGCCACCAGCGGACGCCTGAGGATTACCTAAAAGAATTTACATTCTGTCATGAGGTTCTCCACATCCACTGTAATGAAGCACTTAACAAAGATTTTTGCATTACTGTTTTTATTACATTACGAAAATGTCCTATTCAGTGTGTGGTTTTTCATTAAATGGCATCAATGAATGAGGCAGCTTGGGTCTTCCGTTCTGTTATCAATAGCTGGTATCAGGGATATTTAAATAGTTAAGTAACAAACTACTCAGATCTTCTGACATAGCACACATGAATGAATTGAATAAGAATCGACCTCCCTTCCTCGGCGATCGAGGCATGCATATCTTCTTCTTTATTTAGTCGCAACCTTATGCTATACGGCCACACAGGTTCGTACGAACGATAATTTCGTACGAATCTCCCTGTTTTTCTATTGTCTTCCCGAATTTCCATTGTCTGAAAATCGTTCGTACGGCGTTCGAAGCCGTTCGCATTGGAATTTGTGACCGAGGCTTTATGCTACGGTCACAAAGGTTCGTACGAACGATAATTTCGTACGAATCTCCCTGTTTTTCTATTGTCTTCCCGAATTTCCATTGTCTGAAAATCGTTCGTACGGCGTTCGTAGCAGTTCGTAATAACATTTGTGACCGAGGCTTAAGATAATCTTACAAAAGCTGCCGTGGCAGTGGATATTTACATCAGCAGAAATGGATCACCTTCTACAACCTTATTTCCTTCATATTCAAATTTTACAGATATTTAGTATGCAACCAACTGTTATTACATCAAAATGAAGTTGACTGCATTTAATTGGCAATTGACGTAGACATCTAAGTAACTTTGGGGGGGGGGTCACATCTTATGGACAAAACGGGGTACTTATTTCGGGACAGGCTCCCCATTTATTGGCGTGACGCCAACTACTTTGTTCAATCAAATACAGATAACATCGACCTACTTCTTTTTATTATTATAATGTGAAATTCTTCACAACTGACTCGACAAAACCTTTTTTAAAATTAATTCGTGTGTACTAGCTGAACCCAGAATCTTACGCTTTCTAATTACATAAGATATTCTCATATCACAATGGCCGTGGAGAAAAAAAGTATCCACTGATTACGCAACTTTACCTGCAATATGTCGTATGATCATGTATGTACTTTATTTATTTCTTTTTTACCGTTATGTTAAATATATAGCCCTAATGCACTATCTTATAACGTCAAGTCACAATATATAGGCCTACTTCTTTTCATCTAATATAGTTATTGGAATGATTTCTCATAGAGGAGTCTAAAGAATAATCTCTAACAGCAAGAAGGGCGTTAACTCTATGTAAAAGTATAAGAATTAACGCCTTCCTGGCTCCAAGCAGACGTTCTTTCATATTTTTAGACTATATATACCTCTTCTAACTTGTTCTAAGGCCAAGGACGCATGTTATCATGTTAACTCGTGATAATAACGTGTCAAGCCAAGTTCAAAGCTTTCAAGCCTGGTTTGCCTGTAATGGATTTGACACTTAGGCTTCTTCCCGAACGTCTTCGTCATCATCTGCCTCTTACTATTTTACTTAATAGACCAAAGAGGAAACATGACAGGTCTGCACAATGGGTATCCGCGCAGGTGCATGGCTGGAGAGCAACTCCCCATCATCCATATTCTAGACTATAGAGAAGGACCCCAACAGAGAAGAAGAAGGAAAAAGAAGAGTCTCAGGAAAGAAGAAGAAAGAAAAATGAGGCGGAAGATGTGAAAGTTTTTTTGTATATTTTTAAAATAATTTTTTCAATTCATCTTCTTGTACCTGGTGAATAGTACCATTTTCTTGTTTTTCATTAACCATCTATCATGTCTATATTTTAAACCCCAAGCTAACTTTTCCAGAAATATTGACATGTACATTTTGTAATTCATTTTTCTTGTTTGACACCGATGTCTGGATTTTGAGGAGATGTGATCTGGTCATCTTTAAGCTTCATTAAATCAATCCAGTCAGTGCAGCTTCCACCTGTCTTCCTCACAACCAAAGTATTCAGTCCGTAAAATATTGACCAATCAGCATCCGCACTTCCGTCAACGCTATGACGTCGGTTGTTTCCCCTTGACCGATCATCAAGGGATAAAGTGACGAAGGTTTTCAAGCTTCATCAGGCCCACAGCACCTTCTCACAATCATCTTAGATTGTAGCAATCATTCCACAGTATCTGAGCATATTTTGAGAGATCGACAGTTTGCACACCTGAAGTGTTTTATTTCACAAAATACAGCAACTGCTTCTTCACCCGCAGGTGTTGATATTTAACGAAAAAATTGAAAGTCAATGAACTTAAACTTTTATTTTATCTTTCAAAGGTAAAAATTGTAGAACATTTGAGACGTGGTAATTATTGATTGCATGACACCTTGTTTAGGGGGGGGGGGTGGCGCATCTTAATTGTAAAAGACCAAATCAATGATGGGTTTTCTTCTGTCAGTTATTAAAAAAAGGTTATGTACTTTCAGATACCGTCCACTAGATCGATAAAATCTCCTGGGCCTCCAGAAATGTATTCTGAGGATTCTTAATTTTGTTAAAATGATATTTCAATTGAACTTGTAACTCGAGTAAACATGGATCAATATCAAAATCTGATATTTTGTGAAAGCAACATTCAAAATGGCCCATTGTGCATGTTCTACCATGAATATAACATTTCAAACATTTCATGATTAAATCAGTATCAATAAATACTATATTCGTGTGTACTCCCATACAACAATGTTTGATTTTGTTCACATTATTTTAATGAAATCATCGTTTGTTCATCAAACATACAGACTCTGCAGGTATCGTTAACTTAATTGTTTGAAAGTAGAATCACGAGCATTGGATTTCGTTCACATTATTTTAATGAAATCATCGTTTGTTCATCAAACATACAGACTCTGTAGGTATCATTTACTTAATTGTTTGAAAGTAAAATCACGAAATATCAGATTTTGATATTGATCCATTTTTACTCGAGTTACGAGTTCATTAGAAATATTATTTTAACAAAATCAAAATTGTAAAATGTCTATATAGAGTTCATCAATACTCAGATTTTTTCCTTTGTTATCTTATGTATGCATTCTAGCGAAATGATACGTGAAAATCAAGGAAAGACGGTGAGAGGGTGAGGGAAAGGCATGGAGACAGGAGGAGGAGGAGGAGGAGGAGAAGGAGGAGGAGGAGGAGGAGAAGGAGAAGGAGGAGGAGGAGGAGGAGGAGGAGGAGAAGGAGGAGGAGGAGGAGGAGGAGGAAGAGGAGGAGGAGGAGAAGGAGGAGGAGGAGGAGGAGGAGGAGGAGAAGGAGGAGGAGGAGGAGGAGGAGGAGAAGGAGGAGGAGGAGGAGGAGGAGGAGGAGAAGGAGGAGGAGAGAATGTGTTTATATAACAGATTGCGAGTGACACAGAAAATATGCATGTACATGTAGATATAGAAACAACACAGACAGAAAGAATGAAAGAAAGAGATAAAGACAGCTCGAGTAATAAAGATGTAGACAGGCAGAGAGAGAGAGAGAGAGATAGAAAGAGAGAGAGGGGGGGGGACAGAGGATACATAATTGACGGAGGGAAGGCAGGTGCATCTGATCGAGTGACAAATAAAATCAAAATTCATGTAATTCTTTTTGTAACTAGGTTTATAGGTATAATGACATTAACAATTAAT